ATGGAAAGACAATAAGACAATAATTATTACAAACAGAAACAATGGATTATATTAAGAAATTAGAAGAATTTAATCCTGACATTAGAAATTCAGTAGTTGCAATGTATATGCCGCAAATATAGGACGTCAATTCAGCTATTGCTTAGTAAACTTAAAAAACTCCAACTTTGGTTTTTAGAAAAATAGATAAGGAATAAGTTGTTGGAAAAAATAGTTTTTTTTTTAAGTAACGAGAGGAGGAGAGAAGATGTATGAAGACAAATCCCAATAAATTAAATGATACTCATCTAATTTTAAAGGAGGAAGACATTTAGTTAGATTAACTAGATTTGAATATTAATTTAGTAATTTATATAAAATAATTGATTTTAGATAAAATCAACAATAGAGAAATAAAGGATAGTTTGGTCAATATTGGAGAGAAATAATTTTAATTAAATGTTTGCATTACCTTAAGAGAAGTTGATAAATTTTTTAATTGAAATGGAGACTTAATATAATATGAATAATAATCCTTATCATAATTTTGACCATGGAGTAGCTGTAATGCAAGCTGTTAATTGTTTTATAAAATCATTAACACAACATTTAGATTAATAAATTTTTAATAATATAACAAAGTTTTGTTTATTATTATCAGCTTTATGTCATGATGTTGCTCATTCAGGTAAAACAAATGCATACGAAGCAAATTCATTAAGTTAATTGGCAATACGATATCATGATAAAGTGGTATGAGTTTATTATTTTATTTATTAGATATTAGAATAGCATCATGCAGCAACAACGATAAAAATATTGAGAGATAATTAAACAAATATTCTATGTAATTTTTCAGATTAGGATTTCAGAACATTTAGAAAATAACTAATTTAAAATATTTTAGCAACAGATATGCAGGAACATTTTAAAATGTTAAAAGAATTTGAATCTAGAATAGAGTAATATGGTAATGATCCTGAAGATTTATCTTTGTTATGTGGAATGATAACTCATACAGCTGATTTTAATGGAACAGCAAGGAAATGGCCATAAAGTAGATTATGGAGTGAAAAGATAAATTAAGAGTATCGTGCATAATATGAAGAAGAAGGGAAGAAAGGATATCCTTAATAGCCATTTATGAAAGATTTAGATAAAGTATATAGGAATATTTAATTATCATAGTTACATGTAATGTCTAAAAATGAAATGGGGTTTATAAAAGTTATTGTGAGACCATTGTATTATTAAATGAATCTATTTGGTAAAGGCGCATTTTAAATTTGTGTTAATAATTTAGATGAAACTATCTTTGAATGGGAGAAAGTGTATTAGCAAGAGTAGAAATCATTACAGTAATAAAGTGGTTAATGATTTTCGATGATATTTTTGTTATCTTTTAGATTTTATAAACTAAGATAATTATAGTTATGTTAATTAAGATAAATGAGATAGAGTATTTAAAGATCTTAATTAGATATAAAATCATAATTAGAATTATTATAATATTAAAATAATTATATGAGTAATAATATTGAAAGAAGTTTTTCCGTAAAGAATAGAAATTTTCATCCTGAAGAGACTCCTCCTCAAAGTAGTGGGAAAGTCAAGGTTACCAGACATTTTACTAATTAAGTTTATTAAACTTAAAATTCAGAATAAAAGCCTACTAAAGATGTTGAGAAGGTTAATGAATTGATAAAATTGAGTGAATAAATTAAGAAAGAATTATTAAAGGTTAAATTTTGTATTCTTTGCAAAAGAAAATTTCAAAGCATGAAATATTTGATTGAACATGAAGAGAATTCAGAAGTACATAAAAAGATTAAATAATGATATTTATTAAAATTTAACGTAATGCTTGATGAATTAGAATTATTGGTTGAAAAAGAATTAGCAAAGTTAAATTCTCTCAATCCAGTCGATAAGAATTCTCAAGTTGTCTAAATACCATTGAAATAAAATAAGGATACTGTTAATCTAATCATCTAAATTGATAAGCCTAAAGAAATTAAAAATCAATTAATAGAATAATAGTGTTCATTCAGACCTATGCTATCTAGGAAATCACTTAGAATTGCTGAAAAATTAGGAGATGCAAAAGAAAGATTAACTAAACCTAGATCAGTCACACCTGAAATCAAAGAATAATCTTAATCATAAACTAGAAAAAGAACTATTTCAGGAATTGCTCCTAGATGGGAATAATTATATACATTAGATCAATTTTATAAATCTAAAAAAGAATAATTGAGACTACAATTAGAAATGGAAAGATCAAAAGAAAGTGAAACCACATTTTAACCAGATCTTTCTAAAAGTTAAACTAAATATTGTGATTTTAGTATGCCTTTTCAATAAAGAAATAGATATTGGGAAACTAAAAAATAACAAAAACTTATTCAATATTAAAAGGATGTCTAAAATGAAAGTCAATCGTTATGTACCTTTAAACCTTAAGTTAATAAAAAAATTGAATAAAAAAGTGTCAGAGTATCAGAATTCAATAAAAAAGGACTTATAACATATTTTGAAAGAGTCTAATAGGCAAATAAGAAAAAAGAAGAACCTAAGAAAACCTCAAAATGGAAACCTGGAGTTACTATACCTTAAGAATTTAAATTAAGTCATACAAATAGACAATTATGATTTCAATCAAATTATTATATCAGATATAAATAATTTTATTTCAATTTCACTTTATTTTTTTCGTTTAGCATTGCTTCTATCTATTATAAAATATATAAATATTGAGTTTTATTAATAATAAAATGACTGTTATACAATCATTTTAAGTTTCAAACACCATACAAATGAGAATTAATTCTAATTATTCTATTTAGCTAATCTAGAATAATGATAATCAACTCCACTTAAAAAATAAATTAACACAAATTAAAAAAAGAACTTAGTAAAAAATACTTATAGCTATCTAGATATAATTAAAATAAGTGACATTTAAAAAATAACCAATTCCTTTGTAAATTAAAATGATTAAATAAATTCAATTAATTCTTTAACACTGCCCATTATACCTTTAAGTCTAAAATAATGTGATGATAATTCATATCTTATATAGTTTTTTGAAAATAGAACAGTTAATCGATAGTTTTAACATTAATATTTCTGATATCTCTTAATTAAGAATTAATTATACTAAATTGTCTAATTATTATTCCAAATATCCACCACATTACCATATTTTTTTAAACTCTTAATTTAATTTAATATAATTAATAGAGAAATAGTAAATTTCATTAATGTTTATACTATTGATGTGAAATTGAAATCATTTACACATATTAATTAAGATTGTTACATTAAAAATATGGAATCAAAATTTTTAAATGATAGTCTTATTTGATAATTATGATTTGATAAATAACGCAAATTCAAAATTATAGATTAAAGTTCGAAGAAAAAAAAAGGAAAGCTTAAAAAAATATAGGTATATCTAGAAAGTTAAATTAATTGGTTTAGAAAGTTGGATCGTTGATTATTGAAAATAATAGAATAAATTTATAATTAAGAAATTAATGTACTTAAAAAGAAGGGTTACAGAAAATAATATATATTAATAAGGATGATAAGAAAGCAATATGCAAAGATAGAAATTAATTTTGGTAGATTGTTTATAAAATTTAGAATTATGAAAAAAAAGAATTTACAGTAAATAGTTTAGGATTATATTAGAAGAACTTAAATAATTTATTAGAGAAAGAATAATTTTACATTTTGAGTGATTGATTACGTTAATGAAAGTATGATTTAATTGGATTGTAAATAAAAATATATATAATTTTTAATATTATTGATATGAATAAGTTCAAATAAATTGTAAAATGTTTGGCAATTATGTTGAACTTTTTTAAATACATAGCGAAAGATAATAAGAGAGAAAAGTTTCGAAGGAATGTGTTAAAAGAGATTTTAAAAACTGAATATGATTATATAAAAGATTTAGGTGTTTTAGAATAAGTATGTATAGATTTCAAAATAAATAGCTTAATTAAATTTTAAAAGAGGAGTTAACATTAGTGACTGATCAGAAACTTCTTGAGAAAATATTTATGAATGTTTCTAATATAAAAGAATAGAACTAAAAGTTTTATGATTAGATAATAAACAAAGCTGAAAAAATAAATCGAAATTCCATAATATTTGAGGATGTAAATGTTAAAGGTTTTAAAGAGTATTATCATTATTGTCGACATTATAATAATTCATCGAAAGTTTTGGAATAGTTATTGAAAAAGTAACCTTAGTTAGAGAGAAGTTTGATAAATAAGGAAATAATGAGAGGAATGCCTATAACAAATTTTACGATAAAACCAGTTCAAAGATTGCCAAAATATATTTTATTATTTAAGGAACTGATAAAGGGAACTAGAAAAGATGATCCTGATATAGAAAACATAAAGGGTTTGTTCAATGAATTTGAGAGATTAAACGATGAAAATAATAAGTCGATGGATAAATTTTTAAATAGAGCTAGAGTAGAGGATTTAAGTAAAGAATACTAAGATAAGAGTATATTTGAATAGAATAAGGAAAGATTATTTATTTATGAAGATACAACAAGTATTATAAAAGAGGGTAAGGAATTGAATGTGCGGTTTTACATATTCACAGATATGATACTAATAGGATATGAGGATGCAGAAAGTAAAGTAAGAAAAGGGATGAAATACAAGTTAGATTCATAGACAATTGTTAAGGATTAGTTAGATACTAAATATTTTACAAATTTATTTAGTCTAGTAATATAGGATGATGTGATCTAATTTATTGCTTAAAGTAAGGAAATAAAATAAAAGTCTATACAATAATTTCAAAAAGTTATAAATTATATTAAAGAGAAATCTTAAGTATATGATGAAGATCCAATAACAGTCAATGTAGTTGGAACTGAAGAAAGATTTAGCTACAGTATTAATAAATATACAATCTACATTGTTGAAATTGAGATAGGTAAAATTGTGTTAAAAATATATATACGATTTTCAAAGGCATAAGAGTTACTTAGTATATTTAGAAAGAGATATCCTTAGGCTAAATTTGAAGAAATATCTTCTTCTAATTGGTTGAATAATCATTCAACTAAAATTATTGAGTAAAGGATGATATAAATTGAAAAAATGATTCAATAGGTTTTAATACTCAATTAAAAATAACCTGAATAGTTAAAACCAAATGAGTAATCCATTTTATCTTTATTAACTCTACCAGATAATTTTTATGATTTGCCGAAAATGAACTAAAAAATTGATATTGAAATTAAGAGGCAATTGAGAAGTTTTATTCCAAAATAATAGTAATAATTATAATAAGGGATCTCTGATGTAATGGATGCTTATTTTTCTGCAAAAAATAGTTAAATCAGGGTTTCAACAATATAAGATACCTAAGTTACTCTAGTTAATGATTTATCTAGAGATTAAATTGAATCAAATAGAAAGGAAATTGATGTTTATTTAATCGATAACAAATGTGTTAAGATATCAATATCTTAAATCACAAGAGCTGCTGAAATAGTCAAAGTGTTAGCTGAATCAATGTTATTTTTAATGTACTATAAAGATTTTAAGTTAATATTGGAGGATAAATATCTAAATAGAAGAGTGATTGATGATGATGAGGTGATACTTTAATTACATAAAATAAGTGTTAGAGGGATTTTGAATTCATCAATCAATAAACTAGAGTAATTTTGGACAAATAGTGATGAGGAGAAATTACTTTTTAGAAAAGTTATTTATTTAGATCCATAATATGAATTTTTTGAAATTTATTAGGATTAAAATAGAATGGAATATCTAGTGCTTCAATTCTTTGAGGAAATTCGGGAACTTAAATTCTTATTTAATCGTTAGAAATTGTTTCTCTATCTCGCTTTTTATCTGATCATAAAGTAGAAGGAGTTGAAATATGAAAACATCTAGAAGTATTTAAAAAGTGAAATATACGAATAAATTGAATCTAAGGAATGGGAGATGGAAGTAAAAAAATATATGAGTCAAATAAATAGTTAATTGATATAATTAGAAAGTGAGAAAAAATCTAAAGTCTATTTGTGTTAATATCAATTTCTGAAAAATATATATTATGAGAAAGAAGCTACAATGAATATTTACAAACTGGAAGTGCATAGAGAATTACAAAAGTCTTTGATTAAGATGAATAAACCAGATATTTAAGGAAATATTTATATTGGATTATCTTAATAAAAGATATCCTTATTGTCACTATTAGATAAATAAGTTATTTAAGAAATCCAATATTAAGAGATAGATAACATATAATCTTTTCCAAATAAGTTAGTTATTCACACAAAAAATAAATAACCAGAGAAGGGATGGAAATTTATAACATTTTAAAGTTTTGAGATAAAAATGTTGATCAGTTTCTATAAAGAACTGAGTTTGAATTAGAGTTGATAAATTCTATAATAATTATTAAATTGATTAAATGAATGATACTTATTCTCTTCTTTAAGCTTCAATAACACAAGACCAAGATAAAAATTCTACGTTGGAAACAATGAGAAATGAGAACATGAACTTTGTTGAGTAATCTTAATAAGATAGTCTATAGCTTAAATGATGTGATTGTGGAGTACTACAAAAATTAGTAGTTTATTATAATATGGCAATAGATAAGCAACAGGATTGGATCATTACTTTTTAGAAATTGAATCTTGGTTGGATGATGATGATAATGATGAAACACTTCTTACTAATAATACACCTTTAATTCTTGAATCAGAACATGGAATAGGAAAGAAAACATTATTAGTTAAATGGATGGAATATCATATCATAAATAAAAAAGGAGTAATATTATCTTCATTATAGCGTCATCCTGATATCATTATTCCACATTTTGCTATTCACTCTTAAAACAATAGCAATTATTATTATGCCATCTATAGAATTCTAATCAAATTAAGATAAGCACTCAATATTAAATTGAAAGTAGAATTGTTAGAAGAAAAATTAAGAACATATTTTCAATATTGGTTAGAAATTTGTAGTAGACAATTAAAATAATAAATTATTAATGGATCTCCAATTGTTTATGATAGAGTATCCTTTTACTTATATTTTGTAGATTATTCTAATTTTTGAAGGCATTGATAATTTTAGAGATATTTTAGATATGCATAAAGAAGTTAATGTCAACTTTTGGTTGCCAAAATACTTTCCATCAAATATCAAGGTGATTGTAACTGCTAATAAATAATCAACTTCTATCAAACTTTTAAAACCTGATTGTTATGAAGTTCCTATTGAATCTGATAAAACAGTCTTCAAACAAATTGTTAATCATCATCTGGCTAAAAATCTATTTATTCAAGTATATTTTACTTTTCTAATAAGAATATAAACCATCTTTTAGATATATTCATATAATTCGGTTATAAACTTAGAAATCAACCAGTCTTTGTTAAATCTTACTTTTCAGTTTTTATACCTTATCCTTCTGAAGGAATTGTAGAATAAAATGAAATCGATTTAAATCTTATTGAAGATATACTTACTCCACTCAATTATAATCATTTTGAATCTATGAAGGTAGTTGAAGATTTATATGCCTTCTAATTAGACTATTTTTCTAAAGTCAATATTATGGAAATTGATAAATTCAAAAAAGTTCTATTAGTCTTGGCTCTCACATAAAAAGGATTAACTTATTCAGAAATTGAAAATGTTTGTAACATTACCATTAAAGAATGGAAATTATTCTTAGTATTCTTTAAAGTTTATCTTATGATACATCATGAATTGTGGATAATCCATAATGAAATCTTTAAAAAAGTTATCATCAATACATACTATATTGATGATAAGGTAATGTTATAACTTCATGATATTATAGCTTCTACTATAGACTAGATTACTCCAAACTCTATTAGAAAATTAGAAGAATAGACCTTCCAATTGTTTAGTGCTAAAAATTATTTTTAATTAAAAGAAATAATAAGCATCATCGAAAATTTTTTACTTCTTTTTAATCCTTCTAATGAATATGATCTATGCAAATATTGGTAATTACTTGAAGAGAATGGATACGATCCAGTTTTAGAGTATAATAAAGCAGTAGAAGATTTTCAAATTAATTATCATCCTTCATCCGAAGATATGTTTAGGATAATTATATAGATTTCTAGATTTCTAAAAGAATTCGGTGATTTTGGGACAAATAATACTCCTATCTTTAGACATCCTCCAATTGTTGGTGTTTTAAGTGATCTACATGAAATAGGATTATTGAATGAAATACTTAAACTAGAAATATATTATGATAAAGCACCAGAACTTAAAGAGTTTGATCCAGTTAAACATTTAAAACGTATTGCTAAACCATAAACTGCACCAACATTATCAAAAATTGAATCACTCAATGTAGAAATACAGTAAAATAGATAAGCAATCAGAGCCCATTATCTTTCATTAATCTCTAAACCTAAGGAACAAACTGAAAATGTTGAAATAATCTCTGGTAGTGTAGATTAATTGGCTGAAGAACTTAATCAAAAATTAAAATAAGTTATTTAACTAAAAGGAGATAGTCTTTCTTAAGATTTATTGTAATAAAATTAAAGAGAATCTACAGATTATTATTATAAGAGATGGATTTGGATATAATTTCCATGGGCCTGTATTAGTATTGATAAAAATTGTAATTACTCTACAGTTATTAAGTAATTTATCTCTTTAGATTACATCAGTGTTGATGAGGAAAAAGCTTTCACAGAGTCTGCATTCAAAATTGCAATTGAAGCCTAAAATAAACGAAAGCAAATGTAGGAATAAAAATAAAAATAATAAACAAATTTACAATTGATTCCATAACTTCCCATTTAATTATAAAAAAATTAAGAAGCAGCCCCCAAACAACAGAAAAGAGAATAAATGCAATACAGTGTTATTGTAAGTTAACGCTTGAATAAACCTCCAGCTGTTATCTTACCTTAATTATCTAATAGGAGTGCTATTATTAATTAATAAGATATTCCAAATGACAATCAACAAAATCATTTGAAGTTTATAGCTTCAGATTTTATTGATTCTAATTATCTTAATAAAGAATTATAAAAAATAAAATAAACTTAACCTATTGTACCAAATGATGGCAAATAAACTATGCTATTAATTGATAAATCGAAAAAATAAAAAAATAATTTCAGATAATACTCTGTTTCTTCTGAGTCTTATCAAATAAATGAAATATATCCAGTCATTTAGGAAAATCTTTTATAACATTCTACAGCATAATTAAATTTGCTTTAGCATCAAGCAAAAATTATGAGATCGAAATTGGATTCCATTAATTTTTAAAATTTTTAACTTGCTTAAACTTATAAATTATTAAAGATTATGGATTTCAATAAAGGACATCTATAAAAATGTATACATAATTTGGAAGATTTAAAATCTTTAGTAAATGATCTTTAATAATTAATTTTGAAAGCAGAGAAAAACTTAAAAAATTCTTGTCAAACTAAAAGTAGGTTTAAGAAAATCTTAAAAATTTGTAGGGATAATAAATAATCAAACGAAGAATATTTTAGACATTTCAATATTTTAACAAGAAATTTTGTTAAATTAATTAAATATGAAGAACTCGAAATTTAACAAAATCGTGAAAATATTCAATTAACTAAAAGATAATTTGACGAATTTTTAAAAATTTATCTAGAAAAAAAACAAAATTAAAAAAAATTATTGTTTCAAATAAGAAATAATTTAAATGAAAAATAAAATTTCGATAAACTATTTCAAATTAGTGATTAAGAGATAACTTAAAAAGAAACTACATCTATATACAAAATGAGAAAAAAATTAAGTAAAAAGGAGGGTGATAAAAAAAATAAAAAAAATAAGGAAGCAAAAGAGACAGAAGAAAAATTACAGAGAGAACTATTAATGAGGCTAAAAGAATAATATAAAAAAATTAAAGATGTATTTGATATTAAAAACAACGATTATAATTTGAAAAAAGAGTTTATTGATTTTATGGCATAAAAAGAAAGAAAAAATGAATATGAAATTAAATTGTCAGAATGTAAAAAAAAGTTAAGCAAAGTTTTGGATTTAAATCAAAAATTGAATGAATAAGTTAAAACTTATGAGAATGCTTATTAATCTCTTAATATTAATTAAAATGAAATAAATTAAGACGGTATTTTAAATATTTATATAGGTTTTTCTTAAGAAACAAAGCAAGCTCGAAATATTTAAATGCAAGAACTACAACTTTAAAAACTTATAGTTTTGTAGGAAAGATTTGCAAGTTCCTTAGATCTACTTTAAAAAAAGAGTGGAGCAAAAAAGGAAGATGAAGTAATTTATAATTAAAATTATTACAAGATTATTAGTATTTTGGAGGAGTGTAGACAAATTATAATAAAAAATTAAGGTTAGACAGATTATTAAAATATACTAAATTAAAAGTATGACATTCAATAATGTTATTTTCTTAAAAGATAATAAATTAATAGTGAAAATGTCGGTGACAATTGATTTATAATAATTTAATAAAAAAATAGTTAATAATAATAATTATTAAATTAATAATATTCTTTTTCTTAAAAGTGAATATTAAAATAGATTGATAATAAATTTTTGAATTTTGTGAATAATTTTTTTTTATTTATGGAATAGTAATTTATGGGTAATAACTTATAAAATTTTAAGTTATATAATAATTTTTAAGTTTTTAATTAAGAATTTAAATAAAAGCTATTAATGAATTTAGCTTCCCTTTGGGGGTTTAATGATATTTATTATAAATAAAAATGATTAGTTTGTTGATAAACATATATTTTAAATTGATTTATAAATAAAGCTTTTTGTGGTAATTAATAATGAGATTAAAAAGATTTATTTTAAATAAATTGAAATTTATTAAAAGAAGAAACAATTTGTTAATTGAAGTTTTAGAATGAATAAAAATCATAGTTGAAAGTAGAAAGTTTTGTTGAAAGGATCATTTGTGAAAAAGAATAAAAATTAAGAAATTAAGATAGTAATTTAATGTATACTCATATGATAGGATAATCATCAAAGCATGTCTATGAATTTTTAATTTAAGTTTTTGCTGGAATTTCTCTCTAATACTGGTTTGAGTGGACTTTAGAGATGTGTACCTGATCTCATATCAATTATAATGGTTTCTGAAATTTATGTAAATTTCTAAAACGATAGTAAATAAATCAAATACCAATTCCTTAGTTTCCCTTAATTCACGAGATGATATTTATTTAGTTGGGAATTTAGAATCAATTTAAGTGATTGAAGGTATAGGTTATGGGAATTCATCCATAAAATCCATTTTATCAACGTCTCCAATAATGGAGATTCTCATAGGCTCCATAACTTGAGCTCTTTGAGTAAGAATAAGAGAGGGAGCTTTAATCAAGGGTCTCAGTTCATTGGCTTTGAGAGTAATATTAGGTCTATCTTAACAACACCCCATAATCTTTTGATAGCTTAGAGAAATTGATTTTAAATTAATAAAATCAATTTTAAGAGAGTGTATATCAATCATATATATACTCATGATAATATAACTACTAAAAATCTGAGAGTATCTTTCACAGCATTCCTATGAATTTATTGTTTAAATTCTTATTGCTCATTTATATCTTAGAAGGACTAGGAGCTTATCGTAAATCTATAAAAACATCTTCCTTCAAATTTAGACTATTTGTTTTGGTAATATTATTTAATTTGAACTTTTCAAGTAGACCTTTTTCTTCGCAAGTACATTCAAAGCAATTAATTTCTTCCATGATTTCATCAGTATCTCCTTTGATTACATTGCAAGATATAGGAGCCATACTCAAAGTCTTTGGAGAAAATTCAAAGTTCACATGTACTTTATATAGTTCTTCTGAACATCTTAGTGAATTTTGGCAACAACCCATTTAATAAATTAATTTAATATAAATTCAAAGTTTCTTAAACACATATTCTTTATTTCATTAATTTTTCCAATTTAATGAAGTCTATTAAATAAACTGAAAGTTTACCTCTCTTATATACAATTTGTTAAAGTCATCTTATTTCAATTTTTTAATAGCCTTTTCCCTTCTCACTATCTTGTCATATTGCACAACAATTTATTTTGATTCCGGTACAACATTAGCTTATCTATGTATATATTTATCAAAATCAAATTTCAATTTTTTAAGACTTGCCTAAATAATAAGATGGGCAACTATAAATAATTGTAAATAAATAAATACTGTATTTTTCATTATTTTCTAAACAAATAAAGCATTCCTAGAATACTTTTTAATTTTTCAATTTCAAACTATTAAAACTCTTTTAATTATTGCCATGAAGTTCAATATAGCATTCTTAGTGATAACTATGTCCACATTAAAATGCTACAGCTTTAGTACATTTGGTGATACGATCATTGCATTCACTACAAAAACGATCAACGCAAACTCCTTGATTCATTTATTAGAATAACTTTTTATTTAAGGTTTTGTAAGTAAAATCTGTCTATTCCATAGCAATATTGCAAGATGGCAATTCAAAAGCAAACTTTTCTTATATAGATTTATTAGTTTTAAGAAATACTCTTAGAGGAATAGAACCATAATGCTGATTCATTTTCTAAAAATTTAAAAGATAAATTTACATTTAGAAGTTTCTCTAATTCTATACACTTTGACATGGCTAGAAATACTTCTGAAACAATTTCTCCATGTAATTTTCTTAAAAATTCTGGAACTTTTAGATCAGTGAGTTATTCTAATTTATGTTATTTGAAGAATGAATCTAAAAATTAAAACCAATATCCATCATCTTCTATTTTTGAACAGAGATCAATTATATAATTTAATTTTTCGAAAATATCTTCTGAATCAGCTTCTGAAATTGTTTTAGATCTAGCAAATAATTTATGACATTCTTTCAATCTATTGATAAAGAGTAATGTCAACATATCAAGAGCCTTCTATATTGCTCCATTTTTTTAAAGTAAATAAGCTGCTGCATTATAAACTTTATACTTTTCACAAATAGCCAATGCATCATCTAAAGGAAAGTCTCCATTCTAAACATCTTTTAAGACTTCTTTTGGAGCTCTTTAGCATAAAAGTTCAAGATAAAGTAATCTAATAGAATCAGATGCCTTTTCATTTTTGATGTATTATTTAAGATAATGTAATTAGTTTTATGGGGTTTTTTCTAATTTCTAAATGATTCGCATTTATAATTTGAGATCATGAAAATATTCTTTAAAAATTCTATTTGTATATTATTAACTAATTGTCATAAGAATATCACAGTTTTCTATTATAAACTCTTATAAATTTAATAAAAATTTCTCTTCACTATGAATTAAAAGTCTTTCTATTACTTCAAATACATTTCTTTTCATAATGCTATTTTACATCTGAAAATAATTAGAAATGCAGTTAAAATAATTTTATTATTTAAATACAAGAAAAGCATTAAATTCAGGATAATTAATACTTTCATTAAAAACAGATGTTGTATAATTTAATTGGCTAGTATCAAATATGTGAATCAAATATGCATTCTTATTGACCTCGTAAGACTCTAAATAAATAGGATCTTTTTCTTAATGATTAAAATTATATAATTTTAAGGTTTCAAAATATGATGGAGATAGAAGATCTTAAAATAATCTCTCTTTAAATTCTTTATTTAATTATGTTGGAAATTGCATTAGCAATTGAGAATATAAAAGCAGAAAATAATTGAGTTATTCAGTTTATGATATTTAATGGTATTACTATTTTTTTTCATCAAAAACAATTTAATAGTTTTCTTTAGTCTTAATTTCTTCTCTTGTGCTTTCAATACCACTAAGCATCAATTTTAGAATTTCTGGAACATTATCAATTATATTAAATTTAGCAGCTGGTAATGTTGCTGATTTAATATTGGTATAAACATGACTTTGCATAAATTACATGAGTAATTAAAGGGAAAGACGAATGTCTATTAATATAAACTGTTTTAGATTTTCAGTATTAAAAATGAAAGAAACTAATCCTCTTAACATATCAAAATAAATATTATGAGGTACTCGTTCTCCCAAAATATTGATTCCTTTTACACACATACGAACATATGCCAAAATATTATATCCTAATTTAATTCTGAATTAACGTAATTTCTCTTTTTCAATATTTAAATGCTCTTTTTATTCCAATTAACATTTATTTTCCCATAAATCCATTAATTTAATTAAACCTGTTATGAAATCTCCCTATTTTGTACATAAGTATATCATTGCCTTATACAAATGATAATCCATACAAACTTTTATTAAAAGAGTGGGTTCCTATTAATGTAAGTCTAATTGTAGTATCAATTATTAGATCATTTCCTTTTCATTTTGATAAAAGCTAACATAATCAATAAAGAACGATTCAGGAATTACAGATATTTATTTGTTTTTTATGAAGGGATCCAAACAAGTAAAATATAATTTCATTTATTAAATATCTTTAAAGAAATCTTTTAGTACTACCAAAGCATAACTCATATTATCAACCTTTAGTAAAAATTCTATTGTTTTTTTTATATTATGTTCTTTTTCTTATTAAGATAGTGGAATATCTAAAGGTTTTAAAGCAAACATTATATGGGTAAAAGCTATCTTCTGGAACATTTGACTCATTTATTCTTGACGTGCTGATAAAGATGAGGCTATTTCACTAAGTATTTTTATTTATCCTTGATAGATAAGCATTCCTTAATGCATAGCTTTCTCCCATTGATTCTTCTCAATTAGATCATCTAAATATTCATTCCAAGTTTAAAGTCTTTCTATAAGAATGTTATTTTTTCTCAATGAAACAATACCATTTTCATATATCTGTACTTAACAAGGTTTACTAGGACCTTCATATGAAACACTTATTTCAGCCATTTAAGGTTCTACTTCTTCTTTAGACAACATTTTAATTCTTGGTTCGTAAATGTCAATTCCGTCATCTTGTTTAACAAATTAAAATTAAGTTGTATGAATTAATGCAACCCAATTCGAATCTGAAAATGTATAAATTATATTATTTGTTAAAAAGGAACTTTTCAAGATATTACCTTTAGTTTTCTCCATTTTATAAACAGCACTAAATAAAATATATAGTTCTATAAATACCCTTCAACAATTTCTAATTGATCTTCAATATTCATACATTTAACTAAATGAAAAATATCTCCCCATCTAATGCATAATAATTTGGCATTTTGAAAGGATTTTTGAAAATATCCTTCTCCCCAAGATAGTTCTCCATTTTCAGTATTGTTTTCATTTTAAGGGATTTCAATAGAGAAAGTGTTTCTTTTGAGTGTATAAACAATTTCACATTTCAAAGAACCTAAAGATATAGATGATTGAAAATACCTTTATAGAATTTAATAATTTCAACACGATTAGAATAGAGTAATGCAGCAATGGCAACAGATTAAATATTTTGATTAAGTGATTAAGCGATAGTTTCAGGCATTAATTTAATATCAAGAGCAAACTTAATAAATTAAGTATCAGTATCACTAGATTGTTTAAGAGATGGATCAGCTGTTGTATTATGTTCACTAAGTTCTTCTTCTTTTTTAAATATACTTTTAGCATTATTCCACCAAGAGGATTATTTTGGTTTCGGTTATTATGAATTGCGTTTGATATGATAGATTTTTCCATTTTTATATATTTTATCTTTAGAATGTGTAACAATATATTTATCCATGACAGTCATGACAGTAAATGAATGTTTATAAATGATTCCATGTTCATCAAGTGAGAGTGCTTCAATAGTAGATGATGGAATGAAGAGGACTGATACAACTTTTCCAGAATGTAATTTAGATTCATGATGCAAACGTTCCCATTTACGACCAACTTCATATAATTAAATGTCTCCTCTCTCAAATCCAACCAACATATATTTCTCCCAACATTATATAGCTAAGACAGAAGCATATCTTGACTATCTTTCTCCAGTATTTAGTATAGCTTAAATAGATTCTACTCTTCCATTAACAACTTCAATACAAATGATTACAGAATGTTAAGTTCCAATCATAAGATATCGTTTTTATCGATGCATATAGAAACAGAGTTATGTAGGTTGTCCATAAGTACTATACAATTCATTAGCTTATTATGAGAAACCATAAATAGGGTTGACCTAGAAACAATCTGGTTATTATTAAACTTTATCTGAAAAGAATGTATTTCTATCTTTAGACTCTAGAGAGAGCTTTAAAAATAAAAGAGTAAATACTTTAAGAGATCGATAGATTGGATCAAGTTGGTCAAGTATTTTGAATTGCGTAAATTCTTAATATCTACTATGCAATACTTCTTAATTTAGATAATACATATAATTATGATAATTTAAATTGCATAATCAAGAGTGTATAGAGTAATATTTCATTTTAGATTCATTCTCTTTTCATTAAGGATTGTACTTCACTTAATTTATTAGAAACAGGTAATCTCAAATGCATTTCTGATTTGCTATGTCTCAATAAATCTTATCTAGCACTTGTTAATGTTGATCTCATTATTTCATCAATCTTCGAATTAACACTTCTCACAGTTGTAGGTCTTAATGGTTAGATATATTTTGAAACTTAATTAAACATAGGACCAATCTCAATATTTCTTCTTTTCTATCCATCTCTTGAACTTTAACACATTCTTTTCATTTTGTAAAAAGCACTACTCATTATCTTATTTCCACTTGCACCTCTTGATATCTATTAAGTCAATGGAAATTAATCTAAACGAGATGTTGTTATTGTAGCTGCTTCTTCCATTTAAACCTCAGTTCTTTATTTTGATGTGTGAGTCTTAAGTCTTTAAAATTATATTGCTTATTTTGGTTTCTCTTCTTTTCTTTTATGAATATTCTATAAATATTCAATCACATTTATATATGGATCTTCAATATTCCTTGGAGATCGTATCTTTTATATCTAATCCATTAAATTTGAACTTAACTTCTTACCTACCATTCTTGATCTCAATTAACGATGTTTACAGTTTTGACATAGATCCTCCATCTAATTTTAATTTACTTATTTGTTATTATTATTATTATATTCATTTCCAAATCTTTACTGTGCGATCTCGACTTGCTGTAACCAAATAACTATTTTCATGATCTAAATATATCATATCTGTTATGCAATCCTTGTGTTCAAATGAATTACCTGTATTACTTTAATTCTTAAATTCATAATCCTATATCACATATACATCACCACTTGGACATTATTTAAATCTACGAATTGAATTAAAAGGACTACTTATTATATTTGTTTAATATTCCTATTATATTATTAATCATCAATAATACCCTATCATTATTTTTGTCTTGTTGTTTTGATATATCACTATTCAATGTCCAACTCTAAATACTTCTATCTGTACTTGCTGTTATAAATGTATTCTCCTATCTTTGATTATCTATCCTTGAATTCAAACATATTAATGAAGTCACTGTACTCTTACATTCAAATGCTGATTTCAAATTTATATATAAGTTCTTAGTACCACGTAACCAACGATCCTTTGCAGCTCTTTCTGATTATGTCAACGGATCTTTCAAATATGATATCAAATCAACCTCATAACTCTTATTCAAAAAATCATAATGACATTATGTTTATAAATTATTGTTATGATTTATAAATTATTCTGATTTCAATACACTCTATAATCTAGGTGTTTCAATTATTGGATGCTTTTTATCTGAACAATATAAAAATAAAGCAGGATTCAAATCCTCATTCTATTTATTTAAATCCCAAAATCCTACCTCATTATTATTGCTTTAATATCCTATACCTACCAATTTCTAACTATCATTACTCATACCCTCAAATTAAGATACTCTATTCATAAATGCTAAACTAAATATTGGTAATGCCTAATCATCATGATTCAATAATTAAAACAAATTTACAATCATTGTACTTCTTATATCATATAATATCAAATATCCATTTATTGTACCTATTAAAGTTGTGTTATTATCATGTACCATGCTTGATACCAATCCACGTTATCTTCCAATATTAAAACTTTATCCATTCCTACTTCTTATGTCTTCAATCTTGAGAGTACCCTTTTCTGTTACATACATAAATGTATTTTCTTAATCAACAATTTTTCTGATTTCAGAATCTCCTTTAAGAAATGTACTTGTATGACAATCATTTTTATACAAACTTACACTTCCAGTATTTGTACCAACCAAAAAACTATCAGTTCCTTCTAATGCACATAATGCAGATACTCTGCTCTAAACATCTCCTTTACTAATTTTTATTTAAGCCACACTTCCACAAGTAAAGTCTTCTTCAAGCTTCTTCATATCGTAAACACGAACAGTACCATCATATGATCCAGAAATAAATCTTCTTTAATCACCAAATTTCTACAATGAAGTAACTATACCTTTATGTTCCGATATTGTTGTTACAATTTAATTACTGATTTTAAAAGGTCTAGTTATTGGTTGATAAATTTATCTTTAAAATTATAAATCTTAAATTTATAATTGTTATGATTTTATTATTATTTAAGTAGCTATTATATTGTAATTCAAAAGATTTATCCATTATGTACTTGATTGAGGTACTTCATATTACAATTAAAATTATAATTCTTGTAAATATTTTACTTTATTTTTGGTCAATTAATTATCCTACTTATTTTATAATTCAAAAGCAAAACGTAATCTAACATATTATACAAATTCTTCCCAAGTTTATTATTTGCCTCCCTTCTCTAAAAAATCTTGCCATCTATTTTAATCTAATTACATTAAGCTAGCTCGAAAAGCAGCTTCAATAAAATCATTAACACGTAAATTCATCTTTGCTATAGGATATTAAGTCTTTTAAATTTATTATTATAGTGGTGCTTCTTAAATATTTTTGGATCTCTTAAAATATTCTTCATAATAATTATTATAATTATAGATTTCTCTTTCCGTTAATGGTGGATATCTTGGATCATTTTAAAACTTTTACTCAAACCATTTAGAACAGGTAGGTTTTTAAATTAGTGATAAAAATATCTCTTAATTAATTATTGGAACATCTAATTTTAAATACTTTTTGATGTGAGGTTGAAAAAGGAAAAAGATTTTTTTACTATCTTAATTACTATATCTTTTTAGTAAGATTGCAATGAATTCTTAAGCCTCTTCTCTAATCCATCGATTATGATGCAAAATCAAAGGTGAGATTTCTTTTACATATTATTATACTCTATTAAAATCCAGAAGCTCTTCTTCAGTAGCCTATCTAACAAATCGAATCATTCTAAATAATGCACTTTCTTATCGAGTATTAAATTGAAGACAATATAAGATTATATCACTATTTTAACTTTTCAAATAGTATTTATAAATATCAATTAATACATCAAGTAAAGTTATCTTTAGATTAGTAGTATTGATTTGAGAAATGAGAAGTGTTAAAATTTATATAGTTTAATTACATTCATAGTATTTGAGTACTTCATTAATCTTAGAAATTATTAGAGTAAGTTCATTAATCCTATTATCTTAAAACTTCTTTTAAATTATTTATAAGAATAGAATCTTTTCATCTAATCTGTTAAATTTGTGTAAGATTTCTGCAATATCTCCAATTTTTAAAGCTAATTGATGGTTTGTACTCATATCATTCATCCTATTTTTTATTTGTTCCCAAATGTAAAGTTTAAAAATAAGTGTATCAGTTGATGATTATGGTGGATTCTTAATATTCTTGAGTAGATTTAACATAATTGAAAAAGCATAGAATTATACTTAAGAATCTGAATCTTCACAAAGAATTCCTAAACAAGGCATAAGAAAATTATAAATTAATTCATCATCAACATATTAACATAAGAATTCTATCAATTCTAATCCACACAATCTTGTTTACATAAATCTAGAATTTCTAATTTAATTTGAAATCCATAATATAATAATAATATATTCTTAATTGTTCTATCTAATATCAATATTAGTAAATGTACTCATTCTTAAGTTTTATCTTGATCCAGTTAGATCAGGTTATTATTATATTGATTGTTTAAGTTTTTAAACCATTGAAACTTGTACAGAAACAGATTAAGTATCTTAATGAACTTCTTTGAATTCTCTTTAAATTAGATTTCCTGAATTTTCTAGAGAATTAGCTATTATTTCAGCTAAACTCGTTCCACTTGTGAATTAAATTTATACAGTTTTACGAGGTGTTTCAAAATCTCTGCAGATCAAATTAAATTTACTTAAATTAATAAATTACATAGGTAATGGAAGTGAATATGTAAATTATTTTCTTTCAATTGTTGAAATAATCTTTCTTAACAATGCAATACGAGCATCAGGTTACATGAAATATCCATTTACATTCAAAGCAACACTTATGTATTATAATAATTCATATGTTTAACTTGAACAAATTTCATTATAGAATAATTATAGGGCTTTCTCTGAATTATATCTTATATCTGGATTAAGAGAAATTAGATTTCTAATTAAATCACCTATCACTCCTTCAATTTTTATTATTGGTTCATATTCACCTTTTCTAAATTATAATAACTATTCTAATGAAAATAGACTTTCTCCAGTAAAGATTTCTGCTAATACACATCCAACTGAAAACATATCCATTGCTTATAAATTATTAAGTTATCCTTTAGTCAGATTATTTATGTATTGAACTTCTTAAAGATCAGAATATTTCTCAGGAGCAAGTGTACACTTTTAAATAGATGATTTATAAATATTTCTGATGATTTCTAATTCATTTAGATAGGTTGGTTTATAGGAAGCAAAATCAGCAAGAATTAGAAAATCAAGACTAGTTAGTAAAACATTTGAAGAACGTATATGTCCATGATATAAGTTTCGTTTATGTAATGTATTTACAGCACTTAAAAATTGAAGGGCATAAAAGTTCAATAAACATTTTGGCAATTTGTAATTTGATTATAATCGTTCTTCTAAAGTTAAGTATAGAAATTATCTAGATACTGCTAGATAATCTTTATTGCATTCTATTAGAGCTTCAGAGGGTTATGGTTTTGGTGTACTACCAAAATTTATTAGATTGTGGAATGGCATTAAATTTGGAGAATTTTTCAATTGCTCAATCAAATATTGGAAATTTTAAGTATGTATATGCAATTCTGAAAGCGTAATTTGTTTTCTCATCAAATGTACTTTTAGGAGAAGAGTTTGCTAATGCCATTTATAAGTCAAAGTCTTAAACAATTTGTTTTCAAAGAATAATGTCTAGCGTGTACCTATCTCCTATTCAGTGTAGTAAGTTTCAAATGTTTTCATCAGATTGATTTTTCCTTTATCTTCGATCAAAGTATTGCCCATATTTATATAATTAATATATCACTTTTTTATACTTATAGCTTTAATCAAAGTACTTGATCTCTTGAGAGGAGATCTTTGTGAATTTTTTCGTTGCACTTTACGTACAGATGCTTTCATTCTTTCTAATGGAGCTTATTTACTCTTATAAAATAAACCAGGATGTAGTAAAGATAATTATCTCACTTATTTGATGGTATCTTCAAGTGGTCTATTAAGTTGGTTACGTAACTCAATGAATTATTTGATCTAAATTATAATTATAATAATAATACAGTACCACATTCATATCCAAATCTTCAGAATCAATTTCTTATTTATATAACCATCCTGCCCATTATTTATTTTCTATCATCTAAAAATGTTACGCTAACATTAACAATAGTTCCAATAATGTCATCTATTATTTTTAACTATTAGTAATTTTTTCATTGAATTCTTCTGGAAATAACAATTAAAAATAAGGAGATGCTTCCTTTATTGTAAAATATTCATTTAATTGATAATCATGTTAATCTTACATGTCTTTATAATATTTTAATAATCTTTAAAGAGAAACAGAACTTAATTAACGATGTTCTCGAATTCCAAATATAATAGCATACAATTAATTTATTGCTTAATCGAGATCACATTCACTAAAATATGTTAGAATAGCATTTAGTTTATCTTCGTCTCCAACCCAATCTATAAATATTTTACAAACATTAGAAACGATATCTCCAATCTGAGTCAAGTAATCAAGGAAATTATTTAATAGAATTGGGTAATCCATTTCTAATTCTTTATTAATTTCAAACAGAATTTAAAATGGATGAACTTACATAAAAATACCTATAGAATTTAATTAATGCGATTAATAATTCTCTTCTTATAATTTAGGACATCCTAATCGTATTTATGCTTCTTAATGTCTCATTGGTAGAGGTTAATTCTATTTCTTTTATTGAACTAAAGCACTTCCCAATTCTTTAATGTCTTTCTGAAACACAAGAGAATGTTAAGATGCTACTTTATCATATTGTTTGAATATGCTTTCCAATTCTAAAGCTTTTAAACCAACTGAATTCATTCTTTCTTCTGCAATTCTAAGATCACTCATTTATTGAACTGCTACCATATAATCTTGAAATTCTTATTAAACAGATAATAACTGTTATTATAAGTATTCATGTTTACGAATGTATTATGCTTCCATAGCTTTGAATTCTTTATCCATTTAGATCATTTAATCTTCTACTTTATTTTTTTAAGCCACAGCTTCTTTAAATTGTTCTTTAAATTCTTTGACTTAAGCTTCAATATAATCAGCACAACTTTTTCCCATCCATTACAATTAGATATCTATTAAAACCATCCAAAATTTAGAATAACCTTCTAAAAATATTCCTAATCTTGTATCATGTCTTAATGCTTCTCGTACACTCTATACAATAGTTTCAGAGACTATATTAACTGCATTTTAAACAAAATGCATTTTAAAATTAAGCACAGGTCTAGTTTATTAATGTAAGGGTTCAATAATTAATTTATCTAATTATAGTAGAGTATTAAAAAGTGTAAATATGAATTTATCATCTAGGATGTTTTTTTGTTCACACATTTTGGCTCTTTAAACTTCATACATATTAGAATAAAGCATCATTTTAATAGATTGAGGTAATTCACTTAAATTTTAAATCAATGATTCATGTTCTCTAGATAGATAACTATACTATTCATATTAATCACATATTGGAAGATTCTCTAGATCAGATGGTAATCTCTTATGATGTTCTGTTCTACCTTCATTAATTAAACTAGCCCATCTAGTCTTACGTTCTTCTTTCTTTAATGAAGGACATCGTGTTACTGTATTAGATTCTTTTGCTTTCAATCTTATAATCTAAGATATTGTTGGTTTCTAATAAAACATATTTGTTGTCTAAGATGGTCCATCATGACGAACAGTACTAGATTATTTCTTAAATGTATCCTTAATTGCTTAACAGAATTCAGCATCATTAAACATTTCATCAATCTCGCCTAATGATATTCTACTTTACTTTTTTCCATATGACTTTCGATTACTCATTAATTTAATAAATGTAAGTTGCATTTAGTGCTATTTGTATTGGATTAGATAATGCAGGTAAAACTAGTTTATTGCGTACACTTTCCAATAGTTAAAGAATGGAAATATTTCCTACTCCAACCATGGAAATTCATTATGTAATTTGCCCTAAAATTGGAAAATATTGTCTAATTTATGATATGTCTGGAAATGGTCGTCATAGATCGAATTGGAGAATACTTTATCAAGATATTCAAGCAATGATTTATGTCATTGATACTAGTGATTCTGAATATAGGTTTTATTCACAAACTTTATTATTAGGTTTCATTTATAAAGACATCTTATTGAAGAAGTTTTAAATGATGATTTAATCAAAAAAAGTGCTATTCCCATCCTTTTTCTATTTAATAAGAATGATAAAAAGAATAGATTTAATAAAGATGATCTCATCAAAGTTTTAGGATTAGATTCTAAGAAATTCAAAAATAAATTTATTTTCAAAGAAACATCAAGTTTTGAAATCTCTAAATTGAAAGAGGCAATCGATAATCTTACTGATGCTCTCTTTAGTAAAAAATAATGATTTATCATTATTATATATATTTACTTATCATCTATTCATTTCATTACTCTTACTTCATATAAATAATAATTAATCTTTTATTATATAAATCAATCAATCCTATTACTAAAATATAAATATACACAACCCACTTTAAATCAATATATATATAAATAATCATTTATTACTTATTTTGCTACTTAAAGTGTTGTTATCTAATTTAATTGTTATCAATATCAAATACTGTTATATATATATTTAAAATTTTACTTGACAATTTGATTGCAACGAGTCATTTCATGTAATGAACATCATATCCTTCAATTAATAAAGTAGCTAAAAAGTGTTTAAGTTATGGAATTAAAGGAGATTGTAAATATTCTTTCTTTTAATCATATTTTGATGGGAGAATAAAATAAAAATTGTTCTTACAATCCTATCTTATAAATGTCTTTTTTTGTTTATAAGAGAGTGATATTTGAAATGATTTTAATTTTCTTTCGAAATTTGATTGTAATTTTAGTGTAGTGTAATGTTTTTGAAATTATTGATGTAGAAATAATTTATAGGATGTTTCTATTTAATGAAGTGATGTAGAGTTAATAAAATGGATTTTCAAATACTAATGTTAAAATAATAAATATAAAATCATTAATTATGGAGGGATAGTAATATAAATTGAGTTAAACAATTTCAGCACACAATGGTATAGTGAGATCAATTTCAACATAAGGAAATGAATTATTAACATGTAATAATAATTATATGTAATTTGATTAGGCTCTAGTGATAAAAGAGCAAAGATATTTGAAATGAAAGATAATTAATATAAAGAAGTGACATTATTATCATTCTTTGAGAAATACATATATGCAACATGTGCAAGAGTAAATGGAGGGTATGCAATAGGACATGATAAGCAAATATATTTAATAGATAATGAGGGAAATCCACTTGGTATTTTAGAGGGACATGATTAATAAGTATGTTCTTTAAAAAGCATTTCAGAAAATGTATATGTAATGATTATAAAATAAAGATATTAATTTCAGGATCATGGGATGCAACAGCTATAGTTTGGGATATAAGTTAAATGAAATAAATTTATAGGTTGAGTGGACATAAATATGGAGTAGCAGTTTATGGAGATGAAAATTTAAATTTTATAACTGGATCTTAAGATGGTATTTTACATAGTTGGTGTAAGGAGAGTAAAGTAAAGAGTGTTGAAGCTCATAAAGATATAATAAGAGAAATATTGCCATCTCCTATAGGTGGTTATATAACATGTTCAAATGATGAAACAATTAAACTTTGGTCAAAAGATTTAGAATTAATCTAAACATTTTTAGGACATAAAAGTTTTGTTTTTACAATGAAAGTTAATATAGATTATGTGATTAGTGGAGGTGATGATAGATTAGTAATAATTTGGAATTTAGATGGAAATGCAATACAAACAATATAATTACCAGATACAGTATGGACAATAGCAATAAATAATTAAAATGATATAATAATAGGAACAAGTGATGGAAAGGTAAGAGTATTTACAACAGATTAAACAAGATTTGCTACTTAAGCAGAAATTGATGGATTAGAATAAGAAGCATCATTATCTAATGCAAAATAAGAAGGAGGAATGTCAGAAGAAGAAATAAATAAATTACCAGGAATAGATAAATTGAATAGTATGGTAGGAAAGAAAGAAGGAGAAATTAGATTATTTAGAAATGGAAATAAACCTGAAGCATATATGTGGAGTGCTATTAATAAAAACTGGTAATTAATAGGAGATGTTATTGGTGGTAAAGGATCTACTAATTAAAAGAAGTATTTTCCTGGAGATAAATATTTTGATGCTGGAGAGTATGATCATGTATTTGATGTTGAAGATGATTATGGAATTACTAAATTATTACCATATAATGAAGGAGAAAGCTTTTATAATACTGCTGAAAAGTTTTGTTTAAGAGAAGGATACTCTAAACATTATCTTTAATAAATTGTTAATTTCTTAAAAAAAAATACCTCTTTTGGATAATCTTCAAGATAATAAAAATCAGAATTAGAAACTATGAAAGAATAATTTAATTAATAATAGTTATAATAATAGTAATAGGCTAAAAAATAAATTGACTTTTAATACATTCCTTATACTTAATGTACTTATTATGAAAGCTAAAATTTATAAGGTTTGAGTAAAAAATTATTTGAACTAAATGCTCAACTTACTGAAGAATTCAAATTAACTGAAAAAGAAACTCTCATTTTTAATAAAGGAATTGAATCTTTAGGGTAATAATCAGTTTAAAAAACAGTTAATATAGAAAACTCTGTCAGCCTTATTTTCATTCAAAAGTTATTAAAATGGGATGCTCAAAATTTATTACCTGTTTATGATTTCTTTAGATTATTTTGTCTTCATCATAGTAGTGAACAATTATTTGCAGGTTTAGAAAAAGGAATGAATCTATTCTTGAATATCTTAACCATTGTTAGAACTTAACCTATTAATGCTGTACTTGTAAGATTAGCATTATAAACATTATGTAATTGCTTAAAACACAATACTAATTCATGTGCCATCTTGTATCATTTAAGTATAATTAAAGATATTGTTATGAGTCTCTTAGATGCTGATGAAAAAGTATAACATTTTATTATATCTAGACTGTCCAAGTACTTAGTAATCTAATGCTCAATTTATCTATTGGAATTTATTAACGAAATGGATTGAATGATAAAGCTAGTGAATTATTATCAGAATCCATTATAACCTTCCTAGAACATTAATAAAGAGATCTTTAAACTATTGCTAAATTAGTTACTGCTTTAGGAAATTTAATGAGATCTCCTGCTTAACAAATTAGAGAATAATGTAAGAAAATTAGTTATTCTTACGTTTAATCATTAGTTATTGATACTAATAATTAAGATACCCTTTAATGTTTAGAAGAAGTTAAATTGAGTATGTAAATTTGAATATTATAAAAGTCGAATATATTAATAATAAGTTCTTTCTTTATTTATATTATATTACTATATTAATTAATATTTTAAGAAAAATTATAATCAATTATATTAATTATAATATAATTATTATTCAAAATAATAAACTTTTATTGAATATTAATATTATTTACTGTTTCTATTACAACATCAAAATCCAAATACGCCTATAAGAACGCTTTTTCTTGATTAATTGATTCATTAAAAATTGACTGTCATAGCAAATTTCTTATGTGATCCAGAGCTAAAAAAACTCTCATTTGTGTATTCATTTACAATAAATTTATTTTATATACTATCACTTGATTCATTTCATTTTTGATTAATACTCTTTTCAAGATTCAATTTTTTATCACTTTTATACATTTAATAAGAAAATATCAAACCATTTTAATATTTTATTTTAAAAAAATTATAGTGAACTTAAACGTTATCTATCTTTAAATTTAAATTTACTAAAATTAGATTAAATTATTTTAAAATAGAAAAAAAATTAAAAAGGATCTATGTATAATTTTAAGAAAATTTTAAACTTAATAAAAAGCAATATGATTCAATATTAATACAAAATTATTTCAAACCAATTCATGCAATTTAAAACATTTATTATTTGAACCAATGATTATTTGAAACATTTTATAGTGATATTTTTCTCAATAAATTCTACAAAATCAAATCCATCCTATAATTTAACGTATAAGTTTTCTATATACAATTTTTTTCCAATCTAATTGTCAATTATTTGAATCAAAACTATAAATGATAAATAACTAACTATTCTTATTTGAAGCAAATTTTTTCTACTTGTTTCCTAAGAATATAATCATGACCAGGCATCTATTGAAATTCTAAAAGTATGATCTTTATTAATTGTCTCTTTAATATTTTATCATACTTTCAGGAACCTTTTTTTTCCCCATTATCTTTTTTCCCCTTATATTTTTTGATGAAGGAATAAAAAATAATGATAAATAAATTGATTCCTTTTATCATTTTTAACAGTCTAAAAATAAGCAACAAATTTATGATAAATTATTTAAATGATAATTTTTTATTATAATAGATTTATTCTTATATTATCATTGAATCGCTAATGAATGGAAATTTCAACTTAGTTTGAATTTAAATTTGCAATTCAATAAGTAAATATATTTTTGATCTCAAATATCAATCATCATGATTATAAAATAAGCTTAGTACAAAATAGAAAACTAAATTTGGTGAAATAAGATTAAAATGAATAATAAATTTCTTAACTATAGGAAATTGATGATAATTAAAATGAATTAATAAAAATTTAATGAGACTAGGAAATAATTGATATAAATAAGATGGTTTGAATATATTTTCGTTGTTATATTTATAAATTAAAAATTAATCCTCAATTTTCTTTAAGCAATTAAAATTTGCATATAATTTAAATCTAGAAGTTCAGACATACGAAAATATTATTTAAATCTTATAAGTATTATAATTATTAAAAACACTATACTATAATAATCTTATTTTCAAAATTTAAGAGGAATATATTTAGTTATAAAATTTAATAATCTTCTTTGACAAGGGAAACTGCCATTGAAAAAAATTTTTTTAAACCATATTATGACAATTTAAATTTTCATTATTCTATTAAAAAATTAAAATTATATATACTATAAAAATAATTTATTAATTTCTATTATGACTCATAACTTTTAATGATTAAAGTGATTTTTTTAAAGATATTTATATATTTTTTATTAATAATAAAATAATATAATAATTCTTCAAAAAATGTCTTCAGCCATTCTTTTTGATAATCTTAACAAAATTGTATGTTAATACAAACATAAATATGATGTACTATTTTATGTTGTAAATGGTAATCAAGACAGCAAAATTACTTTTTTTTGCTAATAATGTTTATCAAAATAAACATTACCTTAAAATGCAGAATCCTTGGAAAAGGCTAAAGAAAAAATAAAATATCATAAAAATACCACATTGGAATTAGCAAACCTACTAATTTAAAGATAGATATAAAAAATTTAAGAGCTTAATGCCAAAATTGATGAATTCAAATCATAAATTTTACAATAAATCGATTAATCATAAGATAATTTGAAATTGTGGAGATAATAATTGGAGACTTTCTATGAGGAAGAGAAGAGTTATGATATAGAGTTAGAATTGAAATCATTAAATTTAAATAATGAAGAATACCATTTAAATTAACAAATAAGACTTGAGGAAAAAATACTTGCTAGCAATCATTCATTTTATTAAAAATTAAGCTAAAAGCTTAGCATGTTCTTTGAATTAAATTAATTTTAGGATGCTTATTAAATTCTTAATTTATCTATTAATTCTAATGAATTAAATCGTCTTAAGAAAGAATTAGAAGAATAAGAATTAGTTTAGACATAACTAATGAAAGCATATCCAAATTAATGGTTTCTGAGAGGAAATTTTGAAAATATCCAAGATGTTACTAAAAATCATTTGTATCATTGGAGAAACTATCATTAGAATACTGAATAGATAGAATTGTTTTATAATCATATGAATAAGAATGAAAATTACCTATCTCTATTGTTTCCTAATTTTTATAATAGTAAATAGACTAATAAAAGTTCAAGATTGTCTCCAGGAGAGCGAAATAAAATAATCAAGGATGAGAAAGTAATTAATGATAATAATAATTTAAGGCAATAAAATAATTAATTGAAAATTTTGAAATGTATTTATGTTATGTGGGTGTTTAATTATTTGAAGAAAAAATAATAGTATAAAATCAAGTGCAATTTAAAAAATTTCAAAATTAGAATAATGTATCTGGTTTGCAGAGAGTAATATCATCTTTGAGTGTATTAGGTTAACGTGAAAATGCTTTATTGCTTGTAAAGTTAATGAAAGATTGTAATTTCTATTACAAAAAAAAATTTATCTATTATGATCTTTTAAAAGAAGAAGGGAATTAAGATGAAGATGCATTTTCATTTGATGAAGTGAAAAAATATTTTGTTGAAGAAGATCTTTCGGGACAAGAATGGGTTTCGTTTAAACTATTTATAAATGAAAGTTTGAATGTGTGATTATGAGTAATATGTAATAAGTAAAGAATTTAAAATCTAATTTATTTTATAATAATATAAGAAAAGGAGTTAAAAAAGAAATTGATAAGTATAATATAAATTTTTTAAGTAATAATTATATATTATTGAAAATGTTGCAATAATACATGAATATGGGATTTTCTTAGTAGTAGATTTAGAAGGCTTCATAAATTTGTAAGTAAAACCGGAATTTGGAAATATTGGATGTTCTTTTAAAAAATGTTTAGTCTCCAATAAAGGAATAATCACAATCTCAGATATTGCGAGAATTATCTTTTGACGTTTTGACTCCAGATTAACGTTTGCGATAGAAGGGCATACCAGTAGGATTAAAGAATTTGGCAAATGGTTTATTTGATATTTATGTTAGTTTGTTATTTGAATTCTTTGATTTAGACTTATTTTCATAATCCAATTTTTGTGTAAGAGATATTAAGTTTTAAATATCCAGTATAATTGAATTTTGAGGATCTATTAAATAAGAATGAAGTACATTTATAGAGGTTTAAAAAATGATTATTTTAGGCTATTTGTTTATTTAGTTCATACAGATCGTAAGTATGTAGACCCATATAGAGTATTCTTGAATGTGGTAGATGAATTTGGTAATCGATTTTAATTGGGTGATTAAAAGGATTGGGCGGAATTCAATTTATAATTTATAACATGTGTTGATGAGGGATTGAAATATCATGAGAATAAGATAATGGATGCAGAGATGTAAGGTAAAGAAGAGATATAAGAATCAGATTAATAATAAAATAGATCTGGAATATAATTAACGAGGTCAATGATATTATTGGATGAGAATAAAGCAAAATTAATAGAATAATAGCCTTTATAATCTTAATTATAGAATTAAACAATTATAAATAGACTATTTTTTGGTAAAACTAAAGAGTATATAACACATCCGAATTAAAGAAATTAGAGTGAGGAATAAGAATAAGTATTTTTGCAGATAATTTTGAATGTTAAGAATAAAAGTTTATATTAAGCTTGGGAAGCAAACAATTCATTTTTAATAGAGGGATATAGAAATGGGAGTGAGGTGATTGAATTAGCAGAGAAAACTATTTGGATTACTTAGATACCTGATTCTTTGTTATTTTAGATTTAGAGAGTTGGGTATGATCCTGAAAGAGGATTAATAAAGTTGAATGATGAATTTAGATTTGACAAAGAAATTTATGCAGACAGATTTCTTTTAGAAAATAGATAAAAAGTTATAGAAACATAATAATAATTAAATGAATTAAAGATTTAGTAAGGTGAATTACTTTAGTAAATAGAAAAGTATTAGAATTATAGTGGGATTTCTATGTTGACTGTTTTGGGTACAGCAGCAAAGTATGTGAAAGAAGTAAAACCAGATGATGAAATTATGCAATAAAGAATTGATTAATGTAAATTGAGTATTCAATTGATTTTATAGAGATTGTAATTGTAATTAGATTAAATCAATTAAAAGATTGAAGATTTATATGCTATTATGAAAAAGTATAAGTATTTTTTGTAAAGTATTTTAATTCATGAAGGTGCTGCAGAATCTGGTCATTATTATACTTATATTTATAATCCATTGTTAAAATAATGGTTTAAGTTTAATGATATAAATGTTATTTAGGTGAGTGAAGAAAAGGTGTTGAAAGATGCTTATGGAGATGGTAAATCTAAAACTAATGCATATTGTTTAATTTATTAACTTGCTGATCGTTTTGAACCGACATCTTATTCAGATTATACTAATTAATCTATTTACGCAAAATATATTCAATAGAATTTATTTGATGAAGTTACTAATGATAATAAAAAGTTTTAGATTGAATAATAAGAATATGAACTTGTAGAATTAGGAGACTTGGTGGTTCAAATTTATAATATATAATTTCAATAAGTAAATGAGGTAGCTAGAAAATATAAAAATAGAAATAGGAATCCATTAAATAATTTTTGTTCCTATTTACGCACTCTCTTAGATTAAATGAATGATTTAGTTAAATGGAGTATTTTAGATTCTGCAATAAGAGAAGCATCTCAAGGAAAAAGAAATTTGAGAGATTATTAAGAATAAATGATTTTTCAATAAAGGTGTATATTTATTAAATTCATCTTAGAATCAAATACAATTTTGAATAATTAAATCATTTCAAAGTGCCATCTAAGTATGAAATTGACAAATAAACCATTAAACATCTTTAGTATTACTATTTGGAATATATTTCATCACTAAGAGTCACTGCAATACAATAATATTAGCATATTTGAATATATATATATTAATTATATATAATGGTTTCAGCATATTCAGTTGGAAATGGCAAAAGATCTAATGAAGTTTAATAAGGACCTGAAACTCCAGGACCTGGTTAATATTCTGGAGATAAGAAATAGAAATACACACCTCCTAGTTTTAAGTATAGATAGATCTCTCTATTAAATTAGGATTCCATAAGCATAAAGATAAACATTTTAATCAAGTTTTACTCCAGGTCCAGGAGCATATGCTTCATCTGATGTATAGCATAGAATATAATATAGAACCTACTAAAAGGACCTAAATTTTCTTTTGCTGGTAAAAAATAGCAATCTGTTACATCATTTTAACCTGGACCAGGAGCTTATAATGTAAAACCTACTAAATAAGCTCCTTAATATAGTTTTGGAGGTAAGTATGGTAGTCAGCCTGATGATTTATAACCTGGTCCTGGAGAATATTAATTAAGTATGTAATTAGATGCTCCTACTATGAGGTAATAAAATCTTTTAAAATATTTATTAGATTTCCAAGATCTAAAAGAGATGATCCACATTCAGAAAAAGTTCCTGGTCCTGGAAGTATTATTAAGATTTTATTATTTATACAGCATATAAATAAGATAGAGCTGAATCTGCTCCAAAGTTTCGTTTTGGTAATGCTTAAAGAAGAGGTCTTTATGATAATGAACTTGGAAAAGTGCCAGGACGTAAATATAATTTATATATTGAAATAGCTGGACAATACAATTATTAATCATAATTTGAGACTATCTAACCTAAGGGTTTTTCTTTAGTATCTAGAAAAGAATAAATTACATAATAACTTGTAGTACCTGGACCTGGAACTTATGATCCATAACCTATTAAAAGACCTCCTTCATGCAAAATAGGTAAATCTATGAGAGGATTCCAATTTGCTAATCCAAATCCAGGACCAGGTGAATATGAACCTTAAATTGATACTATACGTCCTTAATCAGCTATGATTAGAGTAGGATCAGCTACTAGAAGACCTCTTAATGATATTAAAGGAGTACCAGGACCTGGAACTTATTTTATACCTTCTAAAATAGTTGAAGGTCCATAAGTTAAAATCTTAGGTCACAAATATGATCCTGTATAAGCTTAAAAAGATTAAGTACCTGGACCAGGTTAATATGAACGTCCTATTATGTAAAGACCTTAATCTGCTAAGTAATGTTTTTTATATACTATTTTTTTAGAATTGGTACATCTAGAAGACAAGAACTTAATACTACTTTAGAAGTACCAGGACCTGGACAATATAAACCTAAAGATAAATTAGTAGGACCATCTTGGGGATTTGGTACCAGTAAAAGACCACCTTTAAATCCTAAAAATGAAACTCCTGGACCTGGTGGATATGATTAAACAAATGAATTTGGATCCTTACCTAAATATGCTATGAAGAAAATACCATGATCTTTTATACAATAAATACACTTATTTTCTATATTTACAATATTATTCAACAACTCCTTTTTTCTTTTATCATTTCTCATAATTATTTCATTTAAACTAATATATTACTATCACATCATTTTTTTAATTCATATTATTTATTAAATTTTTATTGTATACCTTTCTCATGTTATTAGAAATTCCATTACATATATTAGAATTGATTTTAACTAGTTTAACATTTTAAGAATTAAAAAGAATATAATGGATTGATAAGTTTTTTGCCACTTATATTCCAAATATTATTCTTAAGACAAAATAATAAATAAGCATATCTATTTTTGATTCAAACAAATCCTTAAACTTAGATAAGTGGTTAAAATTAGAAAAAATATATTTTATCATAACTACTACAAATCTTCATGAAATAAAACCTATTTTATAATAGATTCCTAAATCAATTAAAAAAATGAAGATCCAAATTAATTATGACTTAATTATTTAGGAAAAGTTCTATTCATATATTTCCAAATATAATTCACAATTATGTGCTTTGAAATTGATTGCCACAGGTCCTAATATCATTTAAACGTAGTAGAAGTAAATTTAATTATATAATTACTTTAGAATAGATGCAAAATTATTACATAATCACTTTTATGTTAAAATGAAGAATCTTAAAACATTTCAATTTGATACAACAAGTATGAGTAAGATTACAAATGATTCTATCTAAAATTATCTCTTTTATGCATTATTTTATAAAGATGAATAGTCTCAAAGACAACCAACAATTGAAAAAATAACATTTGATCAATTAACAGATACAAATTAATTGGAAAGAGGTTTTATATTGTAGAATAATTTCTAAATAAACACAACAATCAAAAAAATTAGTTTGAAATAATTTGATTAACCTTAATAGATGAATCTATTGATTAATCTTACTAAGTTAACTAATTTGTTTGGAGATTAAGTTTAATCAATTAAATTGTGTTAACATTTAAATATTCATACGATAATTGAAGGTGATAAGATGACTGCCTTTTTGAAATATTTTAATAATTTAAAAGTGTTTTCATTGAATATGTAAAATAATCAATCATGTTATAATAGATACAATATCTCATTTGAAATATAGAATTTTGAATTAGATGAATTAGCCTCACTTAATTTAACATCTCTTGGATTGGCAAGCTTGAAGTATCATTAATCTCATTTTGCATCATTGTTTTCACTACTTCCAAATATAACAATGTTGAATTTGGATTTTACATCTATTGATGATGAATGTCTCAATATATTAGGTTTAAATTGAATATTACTAATCTATAGGATAATTACAAAATTATACTTAATTAAAGATAAGAGGATGTAGAAAATTAACTAATAGTTCTCTGTTGCCATTTTTATTAAGATAAAGAAATTTAACACAACTAGATATCAGAGGAGTGTTAGGGTTTAGTAAAAAGGCTTTTAGATTATTAACTAAGAATAACACTTTGGAATAATTAAGTATATCAGTAAATTTATTATTATTAAAAGTTAGGATAATAAAATAAATAATATTGTGTTGATAGATCTTCTTAATAAAAATTTTGGAACTTTGAGACATTTAAATATTGGGGAACTTATGAATAATCAAGGTTTAACAAATGATGTATTTAAATAAGCAAGAGTAAGGTATTTAGATTAAATAAAATATTTAGGAATGTTTGTTTATTAAACATGTAATCTGCATCAGTTAAATTTACTGCTCAAAATTTTTCAATAAAAGTAGTATCAGATTTTCTGTATTTGATTCCAAATATCTAGGTTTTGTGTTTGAAAATAAATGTTTAGAATATTATCTTTTTGATAGATTAGATTTTAGAGTAATTTATTTTATTTGATTTCTTAGACATAATTCTATCTGTAATAGTTTATAGAAACTCACACTTTCCTGTAATGGTTATTCACATTTGAATGTCAGTTAAAGAGAAATATTAATATTTTAGTCATTTCGAGATAAAGCTATAAGATTAGACACTTTGACTTTAAATGTGAGTGATGGAGGAAATGAAGTAGGCAAAATATTTTTAAACTGTATATTAAAAAAAACTTAAGGACATGATATCAGATTGGTTTTGCCATAATAAAATGTTTAATACATAATCTGATTAATTTTTTAAAATATCATTTTTTTGGTTAAAATCATTAATTATTAAATATATATATAACATAATCTCTTTATATTTATATATCCAATTTACAAGAGTTTTTCTACTATAATTCAGTAACAACATTATAAATAATGAATTCCTTATCATTATTATTGTGTTTCTCAAGATGTCTTTAAAATTATATAATAAATTCTATTGTACAATTATTTAGAGAAATTTTAATTCTGAATGAAAATGAAATGTTTGGTAAAAATTGAAAAAATTCATGATAATAGCTGCATCTCTATTACTGTATGTACAAACAATTTAATACTTTTTCAACCTCATGATCTTCAAGGTAAATATATAATTTAAAAAAAATCTCTTATAAAGAAATAAGAATCATAAAGAAAATCTCATTCGTATCAATTATCATAAATTGTCTTTAAGTCTATTATAACTATTGTATTTAAATTGTAATATTTTTTTAGGTAGTTTACTATTCTAGTGATATCAGGTTTAGTAAAAAAACAAAAAAAGTAAAATATCAAAATACACCCTACATAACTATTCTGTAAGATATGATGATAAATCTCCACTTAAATTGATAGCCAGACCATTTTCTAAATCTAAATATGGTACCTAATTACTACAAAGTGGAATTGAATAAGAGAATAAGAGATATGATCTCAAAAAAAGCCCTAATAAAAAATAATATGGATAACTTAATTAAGGTTGAGATTAATGGATTATAACAGAGTTAAAACTCATAAAATTTACTCATACTTAGAAAATGAAGAGTGTCTCTTAATAAAGTTTCAGTAGTATGATGTTAAAATTTATCTGTTATGTGATTTTCAAATTTACAAGATGTCATTTTAAATATTGTATATATTTATGTTGGTATTACCATATGATAAACTATTAGTTTTAGATATATTTTTATAATGATTTCTTATTTAACACTCAACAGATTATTTAAGAAAATTCAAATATGAAAGGGTAAATTAAATATGATAACAATTGTACAAGGCATTCAACTTGATAGAAATGAACTTTTAATAGAATAGTGATTTAAGTAGATACAATAGTAAAGAACGAATAAATATATAGTTGCATTTTAATAAATTAAATGAAAGAGTCTAAAACAAAAAATATACATTAAACATTTGGAAAAGCAGATAGATTCCCTAAATAGAAGTTCTACTGTGAGAACATAATGATTAATGAGGTCTTTCAAATGTAAAAATCTCGGGGACCTACTTTCCCTAAAGGTTAACGAATTATGTTTAATCGTAACTCTCAAACTCCAGGACCTGGAAATTATAATATATTTGAAATTAAAGTGTAGAAAAGTCCAACAAAACAACATTATAAAGTGAACAAGGAATTTTTAGATTATATGAATTCTAGACCTAAATCTGTTTCACATAATAATCCAGGACCAGGTACTTATGAATTAGGTTCTACATTACGTAAAAGAGGAATCTCATTTACTAGAGCTAGAATAGGAAGTATAAGCATTTCTTAATCTCCTGGACCAGGGTAATATACAATTAGTAGGCCAATCTCTAGAGTTTAGTGATTTATAATTTTCATCATGATTTTTCTACTAAATCAGATATTTATAAAAATCATCATCTTTTCTCTATTTATTTATTATTTAACTATAAATACAAGAATTATCAATGAATAATTCTAAAATAAAAATAGTCAACTTCTATAAGTTAAACCTATTTAATTATTGTATTTAATTAATTAAATTCAAAATATATATAGATATATATCAATTCTTTCTTATGAATGTCCATCCATTTATTCTATTTAAATTTAAATCTTCCTCTGTATAATCTATATCTCCTAGATTCTAATCATATTAATTCAATTTTATACATGAGTATATTTCCGAATTATACTATCTAAATTTTCTTAGCTAAGTCCAAAAGTTACTTTATCTTCTAGATTATCCCATTCCAACCATTCATGCAATTTTATCAAATTCCAATTAACTTAAGTTGGTTATTTACATCCAATCCTTTTATGGGCTTCTTTTTATAACAATCCAAAAAGAATAGATTGACATGGTTTACTTAATTTATTTGGAATAAATAAATTATCATTTCGAATGCTATTGTATAAAGTATCAATATCTTCATTAAAATAAGGTGGATCCCCTAAAAGAAGTTCATATAAAACTGTTCCTATTCCATAAATATCGGTTGCTTGTACAGCTCCTTTTTTAGCCAAAACTTCAGGAGCTAAATATGCAGGAGATCCACAAAAAGTACGCGTTTTACCATTATCTGTTTATTTTGAAAGGCCAAAATCTACAAGTTTGATCCTGCCTTCATTATCTAAAATCACATTTTCTGGTTTTAGATCTCTATAAATTATATCTTTGCTATGTAAGTATTCTATTGCTTTCATTATTTAACGAATTATTATCTTACATATATTTTCATCAAATGTTTGATATTTACATAGATGATAAGATAGATCTCCACCACCACAATAATCCATTACTAAATAAAGATTGTTAAGAGTTTAAAAGGATTGAAAAAGATTAACAATATGAGGTGAATCAACTTATTTCAAAATTTCACATTCAGTTAGGGCAAATTTTATTTATTTTTTTTGCAATAATCTTTTTTTATTTAATTATTTCATTGCATATATAGTTTCTGTTGGATTATGTTTAACTAGAAAAACTTTTCCAAATGCTCCTTAACCAATTTATTTTATTACAGTGTATTAATTAAGGTATTAGATACATTATTTTAGAGATTATGGTCTTTCTACAGGTGATAAGTCAAGAAAATCTTATTAATGGGGATATTATTATTAATTTTGTTATTATTATTGTTGTTGTTATTATAATTAATCTAGTTATTATTATTATTATTATTATTATTATTATTATTATTATTATTATTATTATTATTATTATTATTATTATTATTATTATTATTATTATTATTATTATTATTATTATTATTATTATTATTATTATTATTATTATTATTATTATTATTATTATTATTATTATTATTATTATTATTATTATTATTATTATTATTATTATTATTATTATTATTATTATTATTATTATTATTATTATTATTATTATTATTATTATTATTATTATTATTATTATTATTATTATTATTATTATTATTATTATTATTATTATTATTATTATTATTATTATTATTATTATTATTATTATTATTATTATTATTATTATTATTATTATTATTATTATTATTATTATTATTATTATTATTATTATTATTATTATTATTATTATTATTATTATTATTATTATTATTATTATTATTATTATTATTATTATTATTATTATTATTATTATTATTATTATTATTATTATTATTATTATTATTATTATTATTATTATTATTATTATTATTATTATTATTATTATTATTATTATTATTATTATTATTATTATTATTATTATTATTATTATAATTAATCTTGTTATTATTATTATTATTAAAATAGTTATTATTATTATTATTAATTTAGTTATTATTATTATTATTATTATCTTACATTTTAATCATTTTAAAATTAAGAATCTTCAATTATGTTAAATTATACACCTTTTTCATTGATGTATTAATTCAATCCTTAAATATCTCCTAATTCAGATAATTAAGCTATTTTTTTTTCTATTTATATATAATATTTGATTGAGTCTTCTAAACTTTTTCTCCAACTTAATATAGTATTTTTACTTTTGGAACAAAAGGTTAAAATTTCGACACCTCCTTTTTTAAATGAAACCTTAAATAGAAGATGATTAATACACTTAAATATTCATGATCACTTTTCATATACCATTCTCTTTAAGGTTACCAGACATTAATGACATTAGAGAGAGCAACGATTTCTATAGGATTCATAGGATAATCAGCTTGTGTTTTAAATCTGGTTAATGTTCCTGCTTCTGGATCTAGAGTAAGGTATCTTTTATAATGAAAAAACCTTAGAACATTAAGTTTTTTAATGTATCCTTTTTGAGCTTAAGGTTTAGTGGGTTGATTGGTAGGATTGAGTTTCTATAAATTAAGAAGTAACTATATAGCTTATGATTCCCCCTTTAGTTCATTAAAATCAATAGATTAATAATCAAATGTGGGGTGTTTAAGAATGAGTTCAACAATTTCTAAATTCCCAGCTAAAGTTGCTAATTAAAGTGGACTCTTGCCTTGAGATACGAAATTAACATCACAATTAGATTGAGATAACAAAACTTTAGCACATGAAATATGATTATTTTTAAGAGCTAATTATAAGGGTGATTGATTGTCCTTAGTTGATAGATTGATATCTGCACCAATTGCAATAAAGTATGTAACTAGTTCTGAGTAACCAAATTGATTAGCATAATGGAAAGCAGACAACCCAGAATATTGTCTATCATTGATAATGGCTATTGCAGAATGGTTTGGAATCAAGGCTTTGATTGCAGGAATATCATTATTTTTTACTAGCTGATTAATGGACACATTCAAGTTACCTTTATCAATTCAACTGTAAGTTATTAATCGCTCTTTTTATTGGTAGCTTCTTCAGAATTTTCATGGATGATGCCTAGTTTTTCATATCCCTTCATACGATTGTAGATTCCTCTATTTTAAATTTCAAGTATTTCTGTTTCAAGTACATCTTCATCGATATGAATATTGTCTCTATTAACATAAATGAATTAACAATCTTCTGGATTGTATTTAGAGAGTAAATTTTAATCTTCAAGAACATAGTCATTCAGATAGAGTGTTAAGTCTTTTTCATTGATATCTGTAAGTTAAGCAATTTATTTTCTGAGTTGAGCAACTGGGATGTTAGGATTTACAATACAAGATTTAGTGCTCATATTACCCCATTAAGAATGATGGCGAATGATAATTTTCATTAATGTAAATTAAATATTTTCATTTTTCGATACGTATTCAATCCATATTTCACTATTATTTTGAATATAAATGGAATATAGATTAAGTATTCCTTAAAAAGTCTATTCTTAATTAAGGATATCAATAGTTTATGTGACATAAGATTTATAATCTTAAAGAATACATGGCTAACTTAAACTGTCAATTTTATAATTAGCATATTGATTTATCATTAATTCTGGTAGATGATCTTTCATTTCTTTTAAAATTTAAATTAATTCAATCTTTGTAAACTATTTCAATCTATTGCCAGATTAAGTTTTTACAAAATTTTAAATATTTTCTCTAATTTGTTCTCGTAGATCTATTTTCTTTTAATTAAAAAATTTGAAAGCAAATTCCTTACTTTTGTTTGAAGCCCTTTGATTTGGAGAGTATAGTTTTGTAATATTGGTGAAATTGGAAAAGAATCAATGATGAGTAAAGATTAAGAATATTATTTGATTAAATTAATTAGTTAAAGTGATTTAAAACAGATAATTAAATAGGTTTCTATAATAAATATATAATAGAATGAATCTAATTGATTGATAATATATCGAAATGCAGACTTAATTAAAAGGCAATATAATCCTTGATAGTTGCTAATTCTCTTTTATAATTGAATTTATAAATGCTTATACTTAAATTTAATTAGCATTTATAATGTATAGTTTGAATTCGTTCTGATATTTTAGACATTTGGTAATACATTCTTTGAGAGACGAACATAATCAAATAAAAATAGAAGTGATTTTTAATGATTTAAATGTAGCTTTGGAATGAGTTATATAGATTAATGGTTTTTAATCAATTGGGTGAAATACTTAAATCTCAATAAATTATTTGAAAATTGAATTCAAACTAATCTAGAGAAAAATATTAAATAAACTTGGGTGATGATGTAAGTTTTTGTTTATAAGTGAATTAGGTATGCATATCAAAGTATAATGATAGTTGATTCGAATATACATATTCTAATAACAAATTAGACATATTGTATTCTAATTGTTTTCAATTATAATTAATATAATTAGATTAGTAATTGTAGTATATAATCTTCATCAAGATAATAATTGATCTTTATAGTTATTGATTGTTCTAAAGGGGTCTTGAAGTGGGAATGTTGTATATCATTTGTAAAATAAGTATTTAATATAGATGATATGGTAATAAATAAAAATGTCTATATGTATATTCTAACATGATTGAATGTTAATGAAATTGATTATGTGTAAAAAAGATTCTAAATTTTAATTGCACTATAGGTTATTTAAATAATCTTTTTAGTGGGGAGTATAGAATCCCCACTTTACCAATTAATTCATTCTTTTTTTAATAAAGCAAAACATAGCGCGCTTCATTCTAGAATGGACATTTATTAAAATGAAAAATTGCACTCTCCTGAAATAACTCGAGGTAAACACAAACACATACATCTTGGATGTGATACATAAGATCTCATCTAAACATCATCTGTCTGACTTATAGACTCAATAAATTTAATAGTATTACAAACAACCACCATTAATAAACTCATTTTTAGAATTGTATTCCCTTAGTATGTTACGTTGTGATTGTGTTAAATACTAATAAATAGTGGATGAAATTAATGATGATATACATTGTTACTTCTAAACACAAAGTGGTTTGATTTAGAAGATCATTACTTAAGAAAAGAAACCTCAAATAGAACCTGAACCCATGTAAATAGAAGATGATGAAGAATTGATTAATAATAATATAGATGCATAATAGGAAGATCCTCAATAATAATAACCCTCTTAATAAACTCATATACCTTCGTCGTAATAGTAATAACCAATTAATACATAATAAACTACATAACCATCATAGACTATAGAAGATGAAATTTGTATTCCTAATTCAAATAAACACAAATATCGAAGAATATCTTCAGGACCTTCTGAAAAGGAAGCAAGATGTGATTAATGTGTATGTCAAGGTAAACCATCAACAGAATAAGAAAATTTAGTATAATGCTTGTTATGCTTAAATTATTTGCATTTCACATGTATTTCGAAATCTAAAGAATCATTTGATAAATGTTATAAGGATCTAGAATTTGTGTGTCCACCTTGTGTACTTAAGTATATGGATCATTTCAATAAAATATCTACAACTTTAGTTCCACCATCTCCATTTTAATAAGTTGGATAAATAAATCATAAAGCATTTAATTTTTCATGTGATCAATCCATTATCAATATTAGATGTGTAAGATAAGAGAATAAAATTAATTGCGAAGAAATTACTTGGCCTGATATTGGAGAATTGTTTTTAAATTAAAAGAAAATCTAAGATTTTAAACCATTAATTAATAATCATAGTCTTAAAAAAAGAAAAGATGATCATATCCTAACTACTGAAGTACTTCCATAAAACTGTCTATAAATTAAAGAATGTATTCCTACTCCAGATTAGAGAAGTTAATATCGAATCTCATCAGGACATCTTTATTTCCTTGGTGTATATTCAATAGAGTAATTTAATTCTAAATAATTACTTGATAACATTATTAATTAAAGTGAAAATTGGATGAATATTGAATAATGTTAAGATTTCATATCACTTTATTTGAATAAGCATTAAGCAGATGATATCTCAGTAGATAGTATAACTGTATAATTAACATGTGCAATCACTTTTAATTTAATGAATACACCTGTAAGAGGCTCTTTCTGTTAACATATTTAATGTTTTGGATTAGAAAATTACATTACAGCTATGTATTCTATGTAACCTAGAAAATGGAGATGTCCATTATGTAAAAAGAAACTCTTCACTATTTAAATTGATGCATATCAAAATGCTATATTAAATACAATTAAAAAGTATGATTTATAAATTAATGAAATTACTTTTGATAATAATGGGTAAATTGTTAATGAAAAAATATAAAAATTACTTACTTTTGATAATCTTCCTAATCATGCCATTAAGAATAATAATCGTATGATAAATTTAGAAATGTTATCTAATGAAACTAACAATATCTTCTTTAAATTATAACTTATCAAAAGTAAAGAATCTAATTCTACATCATAATATTCAAATACTCTACAGAATGTGATCAATAATATGATGTTATCATCAAATTAACATTTAAGAAGTAACAGTTATGCTAATTTCTATGCTAACAATTATTACATCAATCAAATGAAATTATAATAATAAGCAAGAATGGAAGAATAAAACAAACTATAAAAACCTAAGGTTGGACAAAATCATGACTCAGCCATTATTATAGAATGAGTATATGTATTTTTTATTTAATCAAATTGTTTTTCTATATTCAATCTTCTAACAATCACTCACTGATGAATCTCTCTTATGACTATATGATTATCATCTAATAAACGTAATTTCCCTCCTGTGTATATTTTGACTCATTACTATACACTAAAATATATCAACATTTTATAAATACATATAAGAAAATTGCTATACGATGTGTACAATAGATATTATTCTCATATACTTTATATAATTATTAGATTTATCTAAATCATGAAATTCTATATTTTATATTGCTTTTTAATCTAATTTCTCGCATACATCCATCTGCATTATTATAATATGTATCATCAAACTTAGTTCCCATATAACAAAAATTATTAGATATAATGACGACAATGACTAAGAATGAATATTTCAGATATATAGTATTGCTTTATAAATGTATAGCTGAATGCTTCATTTGATTCAGAATAATCATAAGCTGCATGACTTTATTGATGATTATATCTAACCAACAAATAATCTGCTCTTACTATTATAATACAATCATCTAGAAATTGTATTCTCTATTACATTGAATTTATTATTAAACATAAGCATTTATGGAAACTATTACACTTACTAATTATTCTTATTCTACTATTATTCTATTAAATTATTTATTTTTTTAATTACTATACCTACTATTGTTTTGATTAATACTCTTCTGATTAATAAAATATAAAAATATATATTATTAATTTCAATATGTCTAAAGAATAAGAATTACAAACTAAAATTAAATCTCTTGAAGAAGATATTCAAAATAGGCATAGATAAATTATATCTCTAACTGATAAAGTGGAAGAGTTGTAACGATCCATCTCAAACAATACTCAGGTATCAAATTCAATCCTTATTTCAGGTAGTTGAACTTGAAGAAAAAGTCAGAATGCTTGAGTCATAAAACCTTAAACTAATAGAAAAGAATCAAAGTGATGTTGTTGAATGGAGGTCCAAAGAAAGGGATTTCAATGTATCTCTAAAATTATATTCTAGAATCAAATCCAAACATTATAACGAAAATTGAATGAGGTTGAAGCTCAACTTAATGAAGTTAAGGATCTCAATTAATAACTTATTGCTAATACTACATAAAACAATAATTCTGAATCTCAGTTACAATAATTAACTAGTCATTATGAGCATCTACTCTAAGAAAAGGATACATCACTTAAACTTAAAGAGACTCAGATTTCTCAACATGAATAAATCATTCCATAATTACAAAAAGATAATGAAGAAAAAGATTAATAAATAAAATCATTGAAAGATTAATTATCCATTTAATCATAACAATTAAACCTTTTAACTTAATAAAATCTTAATCTTAATACTATTACCGATGAAGTCAATAATTTAAAGCATCTAAAAGACAATTTATTGNTACAATAGATATTATTCTCATATACTTTATATAATTATTAGATTTATCTAAATCATGAAATTCTATATTTTATATTGCTTTTTAATCTAATTTCTCGCATACATCCATCTGCATTATTATAATATGTATCATCAAACTTAGTTCCCATATAACAAAAATTATTAGATATAATGACGACAATGACTAAGAATGAATATTTCAGATATATAGTATTGCTTTATAAATGTATAGCTGAATGCTTCATTTGATTCAGAATAATCATAAGCTGCATGACTTTATTGATGATTATATCTAACCAACAAATAATCTGCTCTTACTATTATAATACAATCATCTAGAAATTGTATTCTCTATTACATTGAATTTATTATTAAACATAAGCATTTATGGAAACTATTACCTACTATTGTTTTGATTAATACTCTTCTGATTAATAAAATATAAAAATATATATTATTAATTTCAATATGTCTAAAGAATAAGAATTACAAACTAAAATTAAATCTCTTGAAGAAGATATTCAAAATAGGCATAGATAAATTATATCTCTAACTGATAAAGTGGAAGAGTTGTAACGATCCATCTCAAACAATACTCAGGTATCAAATTCAATCCTTATTTCAGGTAGTTGAACTTGAAGAAAAAGTCAGAATGCTTGAGTCATAAAACCTTAAACTAATAGAAAAGAATCAAAGTGATGTTGTTGAATGGAGGTCCAAAGAAAGGGATTTCAATGTATCTCTAAAATTATATTCTAGAATCAAATCCAAACATTATAACGAAAATTGAATGAGGTTGAAGCTCAACTTAATGAAGTTAAGGATCTCAATTAATAACTTATTGCTAATACTACATAAAACAATAATTCTGAATCTCAGTTACAATAATTAACTAGTCATTATGAGCATCTACTCTAAGAAAAGGATACATCACTTAAACTTAAAGAGACTCAGATTTCTCAACATGAATAAATCATTCCATAATTACAAAAAGATAATGAAGAAAAAGATTAATAAATAAAATCATTGAAAGATTAATTATCCATTTAATCATAACAATTAAACCTTTTAACTTAATAAAATCTTAATCTTAATACTATTACCGATGAAGTCAATAATTTAAAGCATCTAAAAGACAATTTATTGAATGATAATTAAACACTTCAATCTTAACTCTAATAACTAAACTCTACCAATGCTGAATTATCTAATAAACTCTAAGTTTCTTAAGATCATAATAATAATCAATCAAATCAAATATTGTAATTATAAAATGAATTGAAAGATTCCCAAAAATAATACAAGGAAGAAATGACTAAAATAATGTAAATACTTGAAAAGACTAAAGAAAAAGTATTTCTGTATTTTACTATTTACATAGTCTATTCATGATTAAGAGCTTTTTAAAACCAGGTTAATAGAAAAAGATGATATACTCAATGAAGCCAAAAAATAATTTGAATAAGCTACCAAATAATTTGAAAAGTATTTACTCATTGTATTTAAATCAAAGGGAAAATGCTGCTCTTAATACACAACTCACTTAAGCAAATAAGACTCTAAAAGATTAGACTAAAAAAATCTCTGATCTTGAACTGAAAATTAAAGAATTAGAATCCAAATTATCAGAAACCAATAGATAATACATTAAATCACTTGAACATTCCAAATAATTAGACCTTGAAGTAAAATTTATACTTTAATATATAGCTCAAAAAATCTATTTAAAATAGTTCAAAACTTTAAGAATAAATGATATTCAAAGATGAAGAATTACAAAAATCTAAATAACTTTAATTAAGGATTCTACAAGATAATTCTGATTTAAAAGCTAAATTAGAATTATTGTTATAATAAAATTCAAAAACTAAATCTAATGAATTATAAACTCTAAAAAATTTGATTCTAGAAAAAGATTAAGAAATTGAATTACTTAAATAATAATAAAAATCTTTAGCAACTTAATTAAAAACTAGTTAGGGTTATGCAGCTAGATTTAAATAAAGAAATAAATAACTAGAAATGGAGAATACCGAACTCCTTAAATCAAAAAATAATTTAGAAACTCTTTTTTAAGAAATTCTTGATCAAACAAAATAAAAATCAAATGTTAAGAATTTATCTGCAGTTTCAAATAATCCTACAAAATATTAAATGAGTTTACTTACTTAAAGAAAAAATTATATGCAGGAAAATACTTCAACTCATTCATAAGATAATAGATCATCAAGTTAAAAATCAAATAATACTACTCCTAATTAAGTTACAAAAACAGGAGATGTATCCTTTAAAAGAGCTATTCTTGTAAGTGGAAAAAAAAAAGCTGCGCATTCAGGGTCTTAAGAAAATGTTAATTCTAAATAATCCAACAAAGCACTCAATGAAATTTAAGAATTAGATGAAAGTCAGTAATAAAATAAACCTTAATCTTAAGATTAACAATAAGCATAAGAATAAGAACAAAATATATAATAAAATCAAGAACACAAAGAAGAATAAATATTTGATGATCAAGAAAACAATGATGAAGTTGCAGATTTTAATGACGATTATAATGATCTTAATTGATAGTATCCTATTTATTTTTTAGAATAATTCAATTTCGTATTTTTTTTCTTTCATACTTATAAATTGAATTATTACTATAATTCTAATATTATCTAATATATCTATTTTTCTTCAATTCCTACTTGTTATTTTTAATCTAACCAAGATGTACAATCTTCAAAACCCATCTTAATTACAACTATTATTTCCACTTTGGCACCCTAATTTATAAGATCATTTATATTTTTTTTAGTAAAATTTATTTACAATTTTTAATATTTTCTTTCTTCTTTCATTTAGCAAATACTTTTTAAAACTTAAAATACATTTTCAATTATTGGTCCATAATTCTAATTTACAACATAAATCAACAAACCATAATAAATTTGAGTTAAATTATTAGCTAATTCTATAAAATCATATTTTAAATATTTTATATCACTTAAATACTAGTAATTCTTCTGGAGAAATTATTCTTCTTTGATGATTTCTCTTATTTAATAGAGCATTTTTTGAATATTTTCAATTTTTTTTTTTGATAAATCAAGAAGATCAAACCATTTTAATTTTTTCTCAATGAAACAATCAATTAATAATTACTTAATTTTTTCTTTATCTTTATTTTAAATCCACAATAACTTAAATAAAATATTAAATATATTTTATCTCATAATTTTAACCGTTTTAGTAAAATTTCTTTTGGTAAAATTCTCTAATTATTTTTCATAATATTTTCTGTTTTTTTGATATTCTTCTTCAATTGTTTTATTTCTTTACTGAAGAGCTGTCTAGCAATGTTTTATAAATTCTTTAGCGTATATTGCAAAACCTTAAACTCCCTTAATATTTTAAATGAATGTGACTAGAATTTTAGAGTTGTCTAGATGACAGAGCTTTATTTATGTTTCCTACTTTTTAAAATTCTTCTTACTTTTCTTTTTTTTTTTTTTTGATTTTACTCTTCATCCCCTTCTTGATAAGAAACTATCTAGATACATTCTTCTGAATTTTATTTTCTTTTTTTCTTTATTTGATTTTAATATCTTAAAACTGCCTATTTCTCATAATATTAATCCTCCTTTTTCTCAGCCTCTTTTTGATTTAATTCTTCAAGCTAGCATAAATATAATAATTTAATGTAATCCTAATTTTAGCCTTAATTGTGAATTTCTAATTCTTCATTTATATCAATCAACTATTCTTCATATATTGATTATTGTTCATATTATTCTACTCTATCTTAAGACTTTATAAAATAACTCATACTTTAAATTTATTTATTAAAAAACTCATCGTTATAATAATATAATTTCTAGCATTATAATTATAAACCGATAATAAATAATTTTAATTAAAATTAAATTAAATATATAAACTATAATTTTAATAAATATTAATTCTCTAAAAAAAATAAATTCAGTTGAACATTCAATTTTAATTTTCCTGACCTTGTACAATTTTCTTTCTACCTCTAGTATAGATTTTTTAAGATCAATGTCTTATTTTTATTTATCAGATCCTAGATAAACTGTTAGGTGTTTTTATTTAGTCATATTAAATTTATCTCTTTATTAATTATTTTATTTTTTAATTTTAGATCAATCTATTATATGATAACATAGTTTGAATCAGTAATTATTATGAAAGAATTTAATAAATTTTAAAATATAAATTGAATAAATATGAATATTATATTTAATATAAATCTCAATAAATTCATTTAGAAACAACAACAGACATAGCCATTTCTTTTTCTTCTAATAATTCTTTTAAAGTCTTATTGATCATGGATTGTTAGAATTGATCCCATTAAAATCCTTCAAGCACTTTGATATTTCCATCTTTGCAAACACATGGGAATGAGAAACAGACTTATTCTTTGATTCCATATAATTTTCCATCAGTAATAACACCCATAGAGACAAATGTTCTAAGAAATTAAATGAATAAAGTACCCATTATCAGTTCCAATAAGCCAATCATGAATATGATCACAAACAGCACTTGCAGCGGATGCAGCAGAGGAAGCTTTTCTTTTTTCAATGATAGCTCCACCTCTTTTGGCAACTTATTCAACAAAAGCCTTTTGAAGCCAAGTATCATCAGCAACAAGTCCTCGTACACTATGGATATATATAAATGGTATACGTTTATGAGATTCCATTTTATTAAACAGTTGCTTAACTAACATCAGCAAATTGAGTAGTGCTATGATTTCCCCAGATTATAATATTTCTGACATCTTCAACATTAGCACTAACTCTTTGAGCAATAATAGATTATGCTCTATTTTAGTCTAGACGAGTGAGAGCAGTAAAGTTAGTTTTAGGTATACTAGGTGCAAAATGAGCAGTAATTAAAGCATTTGTATTAGCTGGATTTCCTACAACTAATACTTTAACATTTTTGCTAGCATATTTATCTAATGCTTCTCCTTATTCTTTAAAGATACGTGCATTAGCAGCAAGTAAATCTTTTCTTTCCATACCTGGTCCTCTTGGTTTAGCTCCAACTAATATAGCAATATCACAACCCATGAAGCCTTAATCATATTATGTTGTTCCTTTAATTTCTTTTAATATAGGGAATGCACAATCTCTAAGTTCCATCATAGTACCTTCCAATTAATCTTTAGCCATAGGTAATTCAAGAAGTGTTAATATAATTTATTAATTTGGTCCAAGAAGTCTACCTTATCCAATCATATGAACAAGGGCATATCCAATATTTCCAGCAGCCCCTGTAACAGTAACACGAACAGGAGGTGTATTAATATTAGATGGTTTAAAATGTCTTGATAGATGTTAAAGACGTCTTGTTGTAGTTGATGAGTCCATATTAGATATTAAAATTAAATAATACGTATGATAAAATACATTCAATTAAATATTATTCTTTTCCAACCAATTATTGTCTCATCCTTATCCCAAGACTCATTGAATTAATCCTCAAATCTTTTTATTCTTATATTAAATACATACCCAATTCGAATGTAGGTGATAAAATAATTCCCATCTTTGCATTCTAACTTGACTCTTCTAGAATATGTTTATGCAATCCAACCAGCATCTTCATAATTTTATTCAGCTAAATCTATATATCCATCACCAACTCCTACAACAACAGCTACATGACCCCAAGGTTAATGTTCACTTTAAGGTGCTAGTACTAAATCTCCAAATTTCGGTGCTCTAACTTTTCAATTCAAATTTTTACTCTGTTCCTCCTTATTTGAATCCAACAAATGGAAAGGTACCACTATCTTTTGTTAAATCTTCTACAGTTTCCAAATTCCAAATATCAGGTGCCTTCTATACATCTGTAAACATAGTTTTATAATTCAAAACAAAAAACCTTCTTGCAAATTCTACACATTAATATCTAATCTCAATATATCTTAACTTACTTATATCCCATAAAAATGTCACATCTTAATCCAGATTCTTCCTTTTTATAATGAACTTCATATATGTGAATCTTTGTCTTATCATAATTTGGTTCGCAATTTGAATACCCTATTACACCACCATGTGCAACACCTATTTATGAACCCCAAAGAGGATGTTATTTATTCATACACCTATATAGATATTCTATTTTCTTAAAATATTTATACATTATTCAATTAAACTAAACTGAATTACTATTCAAATCAACAATTCTCATTTTATATCATATTTCAAAATATTAAGAAATTCAATTTCTACTTTATACATATTGTTTATCACTACTATTATCAGAACATTTTTTCTATATACAAATGTAAATTATTTATTATAAAACTCTTATTGAAATTACTGTTCATGCTAAAATAATTGAAAAGATGTCATTTTAGATCTAAATCCTTACCAAGAGCAATCCCTTTGTTAATTCATAAATTTATAAACACTCGAGGACGATATCTCAGAAGAAATGCAATTAAGAATCATGCATCTGGACCTTTAGAAACACCTAAAACTATTAATCGTAGAAAATCTTGTGAAGGAGATGAATTTGGATATTTTAAATCAACTAAAGAATGGATGCAATTAGTTAAAATAGATAATCCTTAACATAGGAATTAGAATTTAGCCAGGATTGTTTTTTTAAGACTCAAACATGGGAATTCACAAAGTCAATCTAAGCGCATTCTTTCTTTAAAATAGTGTAAAAAAATGATATCTTATCAAATTAGGCTTCAAAGACTAAGTAAATTTGTTACGTATTTTATCAACATTTAAACCAAAAGTGACAGTTTAATAAGTTGATCTTGCCAATCAACCAAAGAAAGTTAATATGCCACTGTTACCATCTCCTAAAGCTAAAGTGCATACAAAATTGTTTCCCTTCAATAAATCAATTACTATTGATCAACCTCTCTTTCCTAAAAAGATTAATAGAAATTTGAGTTAATTAGAAATGCTATCACCTTAGAAAGCAATTACATAACCAGCATCTAATTATGTTAGTCCAAGGAAATTTAAAAAATCAATAATGAACATATATGGTATTTCAAATACTATGCACCTCATAAAGTACTGATTTAATTTAAATTAAAAACTTAATGTCAAATTGATTTATAAATCATAAATATCATAATACAATAGCCTAAAAACAGACTAAAATCACGGGCTAAATGGCTATCACAATATTTTCCTTTCAACTTCAAAAGTTCAATCACTTCAGTCATTTTTTCTTTAGTGTTGTTTTCTGATTTTGTTTGATTTCTATTGAAGAAATAATTGAATTGATTAACTTGTTGTTAAGTTATTGGAAGTGGAGTATCTAATACATACCATTGAACCAATTATTCACAATCTAACAAATGAGAATTGAATCTGCCCATATAAGTATAAAATGTTGGATTTGAAGATATCTAATAACCAAGGGAATTATTAAAATTTATAGTGAGAGTTGTAATGTTTTAGTATTTCAAAATTTTGAAATAGTAGTCGTCAAAAAAGGTTTATGATTATTTTTTATCAATTTTAAAAAGAATGGATACAATGGCCATTTGAGAATCTGAAGTTAATCCTTCATTTAATTGATGATGAATAAGCATCTCCAAATCATATTGAACTCCATCTAATTAATGTTCAGAAGGGGATCGAAACTCAAAACTAGTTGCAGTATAAGCTTAAAATGATATTTTTAGATTTAATACCATTAAGATTGTTCTGCATGTCGGATGCAGAGAGAGTTGAAATTGCAGCAATTGTGTAAATTGTATGTTCTTTTTTTATTATATCAAAAGTTAATGGATAATCAATAAAGGATAGATTCAACATCATTGTGTTATCACATTAGGATTAAGCAGGTTTAAGGTTTCTGGTGATAGAGTTTGGTATTATATCTTTATAAATCATTTTTTAATCATACCTGAACATGTTGTTAAAGCTTCATTGATATAAAATAAAATGAAAATTGTGCTTAATATCATAAATTTAATATTTAATTCATGCATTTTCAATGAACAAATTTATAGTATATAATAAGTATATTTCCAATTGTTAATATGCAAACCAAAGTCATCAATATCCCTTTATTGTAAGATTCTCTATTCTTAATCATGGTTGCATGTCTCTAAGTCATTTTTACTCCACTCTAGATTTCCTTAGTCTATTTATGATAAACAACAATGTTATTACATCTTCGATAGCCTTCAATAATTTCTCCTTCTAACTACGAAGATTATCTAAAATACTGATCTACGTGTCTTCTGCTTCAAGTAATCTAGAATCCAATTGATGTAATTGTTTAACTTAGGAGTGCAAATCCGAATTCAATCCACTTATTTATGATGGTTATGTTTTTTTAATAATATTGCTATGATGAGATTATGGTTGCTTATCAATATCTTATTACAAATCTCTTAATTTTTTTTGGCACTCTGTATAAAGCATCTTACTTTATCTAATTTTTTATGCAAATTCCTATTTATTCTATTCGTTGAAAGAACTGTATTCGATTTCCATGAATTTAAACTAAAGAATGCATTGATGATTTGAATTACTTATTATTCAGCCTAAACATGTGTTAGTTTCATTTTTTCTAGTATGATTTATTTGCTCTAGGTCATGGAATATTATTGATATAGCTTATTAAACTCCTCGACTTTTTTATTGAAGTTAATTTCATTCTATTGATACACATTTGAAGCCATTAATTTAATTAATCATATTTTATAGTATATCAAAAGTATATTCCCAATTGCTAAGACACCAATCAATCCTAATTTAATCATTTTGCTGAAAAGCTCTCTGTTCGACATAAGTCTAACATATCTTCCAGTCTCTTTAACATCAGAACGAATTACATTTGTCTTAATAATTTCAACTTTATGATACATCTTCATGAGCAGCCAATAGTTTTTCCTTTTATTTTTTAAGATCGCCCATTATTCCATCCTACAATTCAACAGTATTTGTTAATGTTTTGTTATAATTTTCTAATTGATTGGTTTGTGATTCTAATTAATTAGTATTATTTTCTATTCTCTTTCTGGTGTCTAAATCGAAGGATGGTTAAATCTGCTCTTAAATTTTTGATTATTCAATAGATTTTAATTTTTACTAAGAGTTTACATAGCTCATTTAATGTTGCTTCATTTTTGGTGTTAATTCAGCTTTTAAAGTAGATTCACATGATTTAAATTCGATTTACATAAATTTCAACTAAATCATAGATAACTATTTATACTTTCTATTCTGCTTATTGTAACTTTGATTTTAACTTCTCTAATGTACCCACTTTAGATTAAGTAAGAGAATATTATTAATAAGCAGTATTAAATTCATCTATCAGCCTTAAATAAGCAATCTCATTTTATTAAAATATCACTTAAGACATTATAAATAATAATAAAAATAAAAAATAAATTTCAACGATTCATTGAGATCCTAAATGCTTTCAATCTTTCTAATTTTATTGATTATTATATGTTTTCTATAAATAGATAAATAACTATATTCTCAAAGGTTAAACTTACAAATCTTTCTACATCAATAATTATACATAGCAAAAATATATAATTGCTCATTCTTTATCATATAATCATCATTTTAATTGTATCCCTGTCAAATTTTAACTCTAATTTTGGAGCTTTAACTTTAACCAAAATTTTTTTCAATTCTTTATATTCCCTGATATGAAAAAGATAAGAATCTTTAAATATTCTCACTCTTTTGCTTTAATATTTTTTGAGAAATTAAAAATTTTTTGATTTGTTCTTTAGATACAAATCAAAATTATTATAAAATTAATATCTATATAATCATAACTTTTTGCAAAAAATGGATATATTGATAATTGACTTGTTAATAAAATTCTATGTTGAAATATAATTAATGAAAATATTAAAAAAGGGAGATAATTTTCATAATGACTGGATTGAATAATTTTGAGAAATAAAATAAAATTGATTAAAGGGGAGAAAGAATTGATTTTTTGGAAATGCACTTATTTATTGATGTGTAAATAATTTTTTTCAAGGTCCAGAGTTTTACCAATTGGTTCCAGTCATTTAGTTAGGTTTTTATTCTCCATTATGACCACCATTAAGCATGTGTGTCAAGATTTCTTTAGTATACTTAATGGAGTTAAATGAAAATATTTACCTTAAGTCTTTTAGCCATTTCAGTATTTTAACTATCAAGAGCGGTAGCTAAAGGATAATGACTTCTTTCTCCAGTTTTGTTAACATAAGTAACCATTTTGTGTTCGGAAGATAAGATAATTTCAGTTTTGTCAGTAAAATTAACCTAAAAATATATATATAGATTAATTACTTAGACAATTTTATTTGATAATCTAAACATAATAGCATGTCTAGTTTTCATCCATTTTTTCACATAGACAACTTATTTATTATCATATTCTTCAAATGGCATATCTTATCTATTTTATTCTCCTTCAAGATAGCTTCTAAAATGTTAAAGTAGAGTAACTTTTTTTTAAAGTTCTCTAGGATATTCATTAAGATTATGAGATTCACAAATATCTTATCTATCAGTTCCTCTTCTTTCCATGTATTCAAATTATAATGTTTTAGTATCTAAAATAATTTTAGTAGAATCATTGAAAAAGACTCCAGTAGCTCCATTACTTAATAGATATCCTAATCCATATTTACTAGAATAATCAACCCATTTTTTAACATAGATTTCTTATTTTTATTAAGTTTATCTTTATTATCCAAGATTATTAACAGAATGAGTTCCTTACATTCCAGTACCACCAAAAGGTGTAGTAAGAGTCTTTTAACTTTAACTACTTCTAATATCATTTGGTTTTTGTGATTAAGGTCTTTAAGATCCTCCATAACCAGCATTTTAAGCATTATTTAATCCACTAGATCCAAAGTTGTCTTCCAAGATATTTCCACTTGAACTAGGTTTTTGTACTGTGAGAATAAAGATAAATGAATACATGGAAAACGATCAGATGAACCATTACCTGGTCTTTATTAGTTTTTCTAATTATTTGGAGTAGTTTCAGTTAATCTTTAAGGCATAGCATTTTATGACATTTTGAGACTGCTTGAATTAGTGGATGGTTAAAACTATTTATTATAAGAAGCTGAAGGAGGACAAGCAAGAGTAGATAATGGCAGTGTTTTAGGAATAGAACCACCTGTATTCATAAAAGGATGAGACATTATTTCATCAAGAGTTGGTCTTTTAACAGGATCTAAATTTAATATTCTAGTTATAAGGTTTTTAGCTGCGTCTGATATTAAAACATGTTCAGGAAATGTATATGAATTCAATCTAATTTTTCTGTATGTTGTTTTAACATCTGGAGTTTCAAATGGAGGTTTTCCTATTAACATTGCGTATATTATAACTCCCAATGACCATACATCCACTTCAAATGAGTGACCCACTTTACCATCCAATACTTCTGGAGCTATATAATTTGGTGTTCCACATATAGTTCTTTTCTTCTCTCCTTCAAATTCTAACTTTGTTGCCAATCCAAAATCTCCTAATTTCAATTCCATTGATTTATTCAAGAATAAATTACCCAGTTTAAGACTTTTATTTATATTTCTATATGTACTCTCTATGAATCACATTACTGGCATGTAAATATTTTAGCGCATTGATTATCTATGCAACATAACATTAAACTTCTATCTCCGTAAGTCTTTTACGACGTTTTATTAACTCATTCAAAGTCTAATTTAAATGTTTTATTATTACTTAATTAGAACATAACTCTAGTAAAATGTAAACATTCTCATGATCCTCAAAAACATGTTCAAATTACACTATGTTTGTATTTTGTAAACTTTTATGAATTTTTATTTCAGAAATAAGCTAATTTATTACATTACATTATTACCTTCTAACGAGCTCGATTCTTAGTTAAACTACTTTTAGCTATTATCTTCGCAGCCAAAACTTTCTTTGTCTCTAAATTCGTTGCTTCATAACACTTTGCAAAACCACCCTTTCCTAAAAACTTGCCTCTTTAATATCTTTTTATTGCCACTTCACCATTAACTTTAGTAATTTTTTCTTCAAAAATGACCACTTACTCAGAACTTAATTAATATTGATATTTTACCCATCTGCTGCATTCTTCTCTTCCATAATTTTTAAACTATTTAAATTATTATCTGATTTTTATATATTATGGATATACCTACATACCCCGATACTATCTTTAAAATTAAGAGGCACTACAACTGTGATAAAAATAAGAAAAAAGGGTAATTTCAGGAAAGTGATGATGAAACGATTCAAAAACAGATTAGATATTTATTAAAGGATCTAAACACTTGTTTGAGAAGGGAATCCAGAAAAATAAAAAAAAAGTGAACTATAAATCTATAATAATTATAAATGCATAAATATCAAGAAGCTTTACTTAAGAATACGTGTATTCTTCGAATATTTATTTAGTGAGAGGAGAAGAAATTACTGTGAATCTCTAAATATACAATTCAACTGCTCAATAGGATAGACAACAGTTTCTTAAAGCATTATAAGAATTAGCAAATGTAAAAAATACAAAAGTTGATGAATAAACTCGTATCTTGTAACTTAAATTACCAGGTACAACAAGCATAGCAAATATAAAATCAGATTTAGAAAAATATTGCAATCAAAAAATTGTAATCAAATATTTGTGTTTATGGTAGATATTGATGTGTGAATCAATGGTACCAAATCCATTAGATGTCATAGGAGATCTCAAATGTACTACTTAAAAACAAGAGGTTCATTTACAATTGTGTTCTTAAGTAATTGCAGGATGATGATGATGATGTTGATGATGATGATGTATAATTCATAAAATTTTATTTACAACTATTTTCAATTATTTCTATCTTTTATTCCATTTAGCTGATGGATGTTCATCATCTACTTTACATCCAAAATTTAATTCTATATTTTCATTCATTACAGTAGTTAATTTTAATCCCTGACTTGAAATATTAAGATCAATATCTTAGAAGTTTTCAACATTCACATTTATAGTGATAATTATCTTATCTTTTTCATGGACAACTTAATATTTTTCAATTTCATCTTTAGAATTGATTTCTTCAATCAAAACTTTATTCTATGATGTTTTTTGTGTTTAATTTTGAGGATTTAATATTAAATTATCCAAAGTTTCATTTTATCTAGTAAAGCTAAGATTTTATTAAAGATTTTCTATTGGATTTTATATTTCCGGAGTTCTTTTTCCTTCTTTATCAGCTTATGGTTCTAAGAGTATTTTAATAGGTTTTTTGGGTCCACAATATTTATATTATTTATTAATGATTTTAAGGGAGGGAATTTCAAATTTGTAAAATGATTTAAAGTAAATAAATTTATTAGGGTTTTTGTCTAATTCGATTCGTTTCTATAATGTATCAATAATAATTGATTATAGTATTTGACGATTAATCTAATAAAATGAATGAGTATGATAATACTTTTTTGAAAACATCTGAATTGATAACAATGTCATAAAAATATACTTTGTTATTGAATGATGTTGATTTTCCAATTTGAACATCTGATATAGATAGAGGTATTAAATTATATTATGATGGATTATCTGTTGGATTATCATTTTTATCGAAAGCTCCTAAGACTCTTTAATGATGTAAGAGATTGATATAAAATTTAGATCTTTTATCTAATTTATCAAATAGGAAATTTTCTTATTTGAGTTCATTTTGTTTTAATAATAATTTGCTTTCTAATTCATTGATGGGTAGTTTTTAAAGATTGCCCCAAATTTTCATAGAATAAGCAAATAGTGGTTGAATAGATTATTCTTGAATTTGAGTTAGTTTTTCATTTTATATTTCTTGAATACCAGCTTGAATGTTTTTTTGAACAAATTATTTATAGGCTTGAGGATCAGAGTTAGCCATATCATCAAGCATTTTCCAAATATGTTATGCTTAATTTTAATTCATAATAATAATAATAATAATTGAGAAATGGTTGATCACATATCAAAACAATATAAAACAATTACTATATGTCATCCAAATTATTCACCATTTTAGGTAATGATAAACGAATACTCTACAATAAAGGAGATTTGTAGATAGATTCGTTTAGCTTGGAGGATAAGTCCAAAAGAGTTACGATTATTTAATGCAAGTGGGATAGAAATATTTTAAGAAGATTTAAGATTTTAGCCAAAATAATCAAAATTATGGGCAACATTGAATGGATAGGAACTTGATTAGAATATAATATTCTAAGAATATACAATTTTGGATCAAATAGGATAAGGTGGATAGGGTGTAGTAATGTTAGGATAACATAAAGAGACAAAAGTGTATGTGGCAATAAAAATAATAAAAGGGGATGGATTTAATGCAGATGAGATAGATCTATTATTTAGAGAGTCTCAGATATTGAAATAATTGAGTCATAGGAATATAGTTCATTTGATTTAAAATATAATGTTGAATCATGAATGTATTTTAGTGATGGAACATTTACAAGGAGGATCTCTATTGGAATTAGTAAGAAGGAAAGGACGATTAGATGAAATTGAAGCTAGAATATATATGAAATAGATCTTAGAGGGAATCGATTACTGTCATAAAAAGAATTTAATTCATAGAGATTTGAAATTAGAAAATGTATTGCTTGTATCTCCAAATAGTAATTAAGTAATTACACTATGCATAGATAGATAAAAATTGTAGATTTTGGAATAGCATGTATTGGTAAAGATCGGATTCGAATGGGTACGTTACCATATATGTCACCTGAATTGATATCTGGATAATCAGCATCTCAGCTTTCTGATGTTTGGGCTATTGGAGTCATTCTATATGCATTGGTTTTTGGTAAATTACCATTTAGAGGTTCAAATAAAGAAGAACTTATCTAAGCTATTAGTGTATTTAAATATACAATACCACAAAAGGTGAGCAATGATTTATTAGACTTATTTAAATCAATATTTCAGTATAGGAATAGAATTACAATCTAAGGTATCTTAAATCATAGATGGTTAAGTGAAAGTCACGCCATTCCAACATTGAGTTTATTAAAAATGTTATAAGTCACTACTCCACTTAAGGTTACAACCAAAAAACCCAAATCAAATATCTAATCAAGTTGTCGAAAGAGTTCCTTATAAAAAGAGGAATCATAATCAAACATTGGAAATGTGACTGCAAAACCAATCAAAATTATCTTAAAGTAAAGATCTGGAAGAGCTAAAAGCTAATTATTATTGAGTAATTGACTACAACAATAATTTATACTAATTAGTA